ATCGAAGAAAAAGCAAGCAAAAAAGCCTTAACCAAATTTAAAAACAAAACCAAAAAAACTAAAAAAACAAAACAAAACAAAACAAAACCCTAAATGATGTGCAAGTCTATTAAGACATAGGCATATGTTAATTATTATCAATATAAAGATTTGTTTGTTTCTTTAGTAACACTAATCCAAATTTCCACTTTCTGGCTTAAGTGATGAAATCTGCAATCAAATTTCTTAGGAGGATTGACATAGTGAGTGAGTCTCTCACTTGAAGGTCATATGAAGTTATTAACAAAATGGTATGAAACAACACCTCCACTATCTCAAGAAAATGGAGTAAAACTTACGCCCCATACATGCTAACACCCATGCAGCCACTTCCCCACATTTGCCTTGGTTATTGCTGTTGCTTCTTCCAGAAACTCTTTCCCCCATGAGTGAGCACAGATGCCATACAAGATGTGACGAGCAGGCGGATTAACAAAGGTTAGTAAGGCTGTAGGAGGCCACATTTTGTTTAGCTTTACTAAAAAGAGCAGCCCTAGAAAAAAGTTAGAAGATAAGAAAGTGGAAAAAGAAGCAAACAGGGATGATGTTAAAAATGCCAAAAATCCCTATTAGCATACCATGTGAGGTTCTTATCAAATTGTTTTTTCTAGAAGACAAGAGGGTTTTGAAACTAGTCTTTCCATGAGCACATATTGGATTTGCTATATTCTTGTGTCATGTCGATTGATTCATTTCATTTGTACACTACAGTTTGTTACCCAGAGAACAAAGAAGCATAAAGAAAGGATCCTTACAGTGGGTCTGCTATTTTTTCACACACTTAAACCAATAAACACCTCACCTCTAAAATTTTAAGAAATAAATTTCCAGAACATAAATTAAGCTAGGCAAATATACTTTCATTAAACATCATTTAAAATTCCCCAAGTAATATTTTAATAAATACAATTTAGAGATGTTTTCTATGAAAAACCATGGCATTTCTAGCTACTAGAAGAATATCACTTTAAGTGACAACTCTTCCTATCAACACACAAAACACAAAGATTATATTCTGCTTATGTAAAATGGATACACTTTAAAATGCTGTCTCTAACTCTGTCTTTCCGGTTATCTTTGCATCATTATCTCTTTTTCAAAAAACTTTACTTAGGCCTAAAACAGCAGCCAGACTTCACAACTAAGTGGTTTCAAGGGCTACTTGGAAAATAATCAATTGTTCTTAACTAACACAAGCAAATGCTGATAACATAGATCTAAATGAAAGCAATGTTGGATTTAGAATTCCCTATGACTGACAGGATTAAGGAAGAATTTCTATTCAGGAAATAAAAGTTCCTGGGAAAAGAAACTACTCACTAGAAGAGTAGTTCAAGATAATCTAGTAAATGAAAATATTCATAATAGTCTCTCTTACTTGGCTGTGACTACCAAAATTATCTCTAGAGTTAAAAAAAAGAAAAGAATCAAAACTGATAAATAATATCTTGTTTTCTAGACCAAAGATTTCTATGTACAGTTACTTTCTATGGAATGAAAAAATAACCTTTAACAATAATGACAATAAGTTGGCCCCTGAATTTGGAGATGTTGCTACTGATTTGTATTATTTCTATTGGTCCATAAAATAGGTACAAACCCATTTATAACCCCTACCTACTTGAAAATTTAGCAACAAAAAGCAATCAAAGCTAAATTCACGGACTCTACACTATTTTTTTCTTTTCATTTTTAGTTTCAAAAATCAAAATGGCTAATCTTAAGTGACAAAAGATGATATTAATAAACATTACAGAAAAAAGTATGTCTGACTCCTAAAAAGGTTTTCTTGCAAATATGTATAACCTGAGTTTCACAGAACACAAACTGTCTGATTCTTCCCACATAATGAACTATCACTTTTCTTCCCCTGGCTTTTCTTTTCCTTTTAAAATTGCTTAAGGACGAAATGAATACTATCTAATTTAGGTAATAACAAATACTGTAATCACTGCTTTAATATCATGCTTGAGAGACAAAATTTATGTCTTTAAATTCTAAAACAAAACATAAATAAATGAGAGTCTACCTAAATCCAAAAGAACTCAAATTAAATCAAGTGGCCATAATTTTCTTTCTTTTTAAAATACTGTCATACTGACTCTGCAATATGTTCTCCTTATAGCTCAAACATATCATCTCCCCATCACATACTGACCATGATACTAAAACCTCTGTATGTAAAGTTTATGTGCCAAGATATATATCCTATCTCACAACAAAAAAAAAAAAAAAGATTTTAAGATATTTAGATTCTTTTATTACAGGGTTGGAAAAACTACTCAGGTCTGGCCCATTCACATGTCACTAAATGATGCTTCTGTTTTCATTAAATATCAAATGCAAAGTGGGCCTCCAGAAGACTCTACAAGAAGGTTATGCAAATAGAAGAGAGAAGATACCCAAAACACATGTGTAAAAAAGCAAGCACAGAAAGGAGCAGGTGTATAATAGAGCACTAACTATAAGAGAATGTTCAGCAATGTAACAATGTGACGCATTTGGGGAACTATCATAATAGAAAACTCATGAGCCTGAATTCCACTTTTTAATGCTGTTATTATGCAAAAATAATTACATATAATAAATATTAAATAAATATTTACTGAATAATAATTCCTTTGTATCCTCTCAATGTTTATTCATAGGACGCATTTGAAATATATCTGTTGGTCGACCAATACAGGGTCATAAAAATATATCTTCCATTCAGTATTGTTACTGCTAGATATTCTTCAGGTTAAAGCATTAGAAATCAATTCCTCTTGAGGACAAGAAATTTAAGTGAAATAGACAGTTGGACTTATGGGAGGAAAGCAACCTCCTTGCTTTAAGAAGCTGCTCTTGAAATCTTAGCTTGCTTTGAGATACACAGAGCAAATGATAACCAGAACCTGTACTTGCAAATTAAGTATGTTCCCTAGAAACTAAATACAAAAACTAAATTTATTTTTTCTTTATTTAATGGTCATTGTCTTTATTTCAGAGCATAGAATGATCACCAGCTCTTGGTTATGGGAAAGCACCTGCCATCATTATTTTTTCACACCTAGTTAATTCAAGGTTGGTCCCAGGACCAGCACATTGGCATCGCCTGGGAGTTTGTTAGAAATGCAGAATCTCAGGTCCCACTCCAGACCTACTGAATTAGCATGTGCATTTCAACGTGACTCCCAGGTGGTTAAGAAGCACTGCTCTACTGGACAGAACACTGAAGCAAGTCAGAAGACCAAAGTTTAAGTTGAAGCCCCAGACCCATGACTTAATAGGTATTTTAAGAGTGGGCAAGACAGCATTTTTTAGCCTTGGTTTCCTCAACTATAAACTGGAAGTACTAGTACTCATTTAACTTACATACACACCTACCAAAGAGGGTTGTTTCAGGAATCAAAAAATGATGGATGTTAAAGCTCTCTGTAAATTATAAAGCACTATACAAATACAAGGCACTATTGTTAATAATGAATACAGTTTAATTATACCTGTTCTTGTTTGATCTCTCACAGACCATCAGAGGCATGTTATTAGACTATACTATATTATTAAGATCAAAGGCTCCTTCATGTGTCACAGACCTTTCAAGCCCCTAATCACATTGCAGCTAAATCTTTCTGTTTTCATTAAAAACTAAATGCCAACTAGGCCTCCTAAAGAGACTCTTATCTATAACACTGCTATTATCTTGCCCCAAACACTTGAATTATTCTTACAGTCCATTGTTTTGTGGGCTTTACTATAATCTACAAGATAATAAACTAACTGGTTTAACCCACTGCCAAGCCTAAGAACTGAGGTGTCCTGCAAAATGCTGCTTTTGCTGGAGTCCTTGGCTTTCCTTGCCCATTTAGCAACAGCCTCTCTTCTCCAAAGTAGAGCATGGCTATAAGGCTGTAGTTTACATGCTGCAGTTTACACGGTGTATTTTACGCTAAGGGAAGAAAACAGTACCCCAGCTTTCTTCCTAATACCTCCTTGTGTTAAAAGAAGTCCATAATCTTAAAAAACAAGAAATTCCTAAACTGTATCCATAGTATCCAAAGATTTGTTATACCTTTTCCTTATATATCAAATGAATGCCAAAAAGCTTCTGATAACCAGGGCTTTAACCAAAATTAAACCAAATTTGGCATTAACCAAAATTGGATGGCTTTAAAAATGAAAATCTAACTAACAGATCAATTTATTTATTCATGAGATTGAGTTTCTATCAAACCTGGAAAATCAATTGCCATCATAAAATGCTGAAGCCATTGGCATTATAAGCTGTGACCTTAAACTGACTTTTCAGCTGCTCATCCAAACCCTTTCTCACCCAGAGAAACCAGGCTTCCCTCTCCTGAGTTGGTTGTAGAGCCCCTTCTTCCACTGTCATCCCATATGCCACAAAGACCCTTATTGAGAATTCAGACTCCATGCAGGGGAACAGAAAAGGATTAACACATGCAACTGTGCAGCAACACTTTTAGACACAGTTTAACTAAAAAAAAAAAAAAAAAAAGTCTGTCTAGCACGAGAACAATCCCCAAGTCAGCCCAAGAGCAGAGAATTAGTACTATCAAGTGAACAGAAACAAAACCAAGGCAAACATCCACCAAATTCAATATTCAGAGTAATTACTATTATAAAAGAACCACCAATGATGCATACTCAAAAACCACTATCAAGAGGCAAAGGCTACCAGAAAAGTTCCCACTATTTCCTCAAAAAGCACTTGGTTTTGATAGAAGTAAAGATTTGACTTTAAGACATAAAAGGCACAAAAATAGTACCTTTATGGACAGGTTTTCAGGCTATGGCTACCAGCAGATGTAAGTCTGTTCTCCATTAAGGAAATGAAAGAATAGTGTATGCTATCAACGAGAGCTGGATAAGCAATTTGGTCGAGTGCTCATTTGTGGAACAGGGAAGGTATGAGAGCAAGCTGCCCTTTTCCTAACAGAGGATGCAAGATGGACTCCTACCAGTCTCTGCTGCTCCAGGAGAAGATCTGCTTCTTCCTTCTCCTTTTTGTATAGTATTTCCATTTCCTGTAGCCTAGAAAGAAAAGAAAAACAAGAGAGGAAAGAATAAATTGTGATATCACTGAGTTGTTTCATGAATGCTATTACATGTTTAAAAGAAGTGATAGTCATGTGGCCCACATCATATCTGTACACTACCTTTTCTCCATCTCCTGTTTCATATCTATTCCTTGTTTTTCTAGAAGCTCTCTCTGGGCAAACGTCCAGTCCACAGGCTCAGAGGGGGTCTCAGCAGAAGGAGTCTTCTCCCGCTCAGCCCGTGCTTGCTCCGGGTGGTTAAAACGAAACACATGGTTTTTACCCATGATGATACGGTTTCCTAGCACAAAACAGAAACAGGGTTAAGAAATCATTTTTAATGTATAGTATCTATAATAATCTCACTCTCCCTAATGCAAAAAGACAGCTTTTGGAGTTTTACAAGAACATAAATCTTTTTTTTTTTTTTTTTTTTAATTTTATTTATTTATTTTTCCCCCAAAGCCCCAGTAGATAGTTGTATGTCATAGTTGCACATCCTTCCAGTTGCTGTATGTGGGACGCAGCCTCAGCATGGCTGGAGAAGCGGTGCGGTAGTGCGCACCCGGGATACGAACCCAGGCTGCCAGCAGCGGAGCACGCACACTTAACCGCTAAGCCACGGGGCCGGCCCAAGAACATAAATCTTAATGCTGACTATCACTTCAGTGTTTAAATAAAGAGTCAAAAATTAAAGAGTTGCTCACACAAGCCATGTGTTGTTTACTGGTTTTTCTTTTTTTTTCTTTTACTAAAGATATCAAACCTCTCCCAGTCTCACCTGAGCGCAGCTGAACAGGCTGGGCCACCCTCTTGCCATTTACGTAGGTTTCTGAGCGTTCACAAGGCTCTAGGGTCACGATAACTAAGACGAACACAAACTAACATTAGCATCACAAACCACCGGAGTAAAATAACAGAAAGCAGACAACTATGAGGATTCAGGGTAACTAGAACAGATTCCTGCAACCAACCAAGTGGCTGAGCATCTATATAATAGCTCATTTTAGGGTACCAGAACCACTCCAATATAGGAGGCTATTTAGGGCTGTGGTTAAGATAGAAACATTTAAATGAATTTGACAAACCTCAGAAGAAGATAAGAAATGTTAGTTTAAGTGATATCTGATATCTGACAGTTCAGTCTATAAAACTGAAAACCATCAGAAATCTTAAGTACAAGATGTAGGTAATAACCAGAAATTTAAGATCAAAAGCTAATATTTTGATTAAGGAAGGAATGAAAGATATAGCACAAAAATACTATTAGTTTGTTTTGTTAATAACCTGGGCAAAAATCAAGATTGACTTTTTCTTCCCTTTTAGATAAAAATAAATTCTGTTGGGTTAAGACTAGAGGCCCTTCAAATCTTTCACTACCCAGAATATTTGTTCCCTTTTTACTTGTCTATTAAATAATTAACATTCAAGACCAAGCCTAATTGCCTATGTCCTGCTCAGTTCTTGGCAGTAACAAAAGGACTCCTTTTGTCCAGGCTATTTTCATGTAAAGTAGCTATGTCCGTCCCTGCATTTATAAGCAGCCCGGGAAATTCTGCATTTTCAAATATTAGATTGTACAAGAGAAGTAACACTGAAAGAGACAGGGAATACCAAGTCTTGGGGATTTCACATATTACAGAATGAAAAGGTTATTGGAAAAGCTAAGCCAGGAACTCTCACCATCCCCACTGTTGTTTCTCTCACTCCGAAAGATACAATGCTCTTCTTTAATGTGAGCCCCACTCAGCACGATGTCCTGGCGCCGCTCAGCATCTGCTTGGCCAACCCTGAACACAAGAGAAAGTGTTTCCCAGGGAAATTCAGACACAAAAAGCACTACAAACAATGAACCTCTTTCTCCCAAAGAATAGTCTTTGGTATGTACAAAAAAGGTATTGCCTTTTTTTATCAAAGGCTTTCAACTGTGAATTCTATTTTCATATATGATCAATCTCCCTACATCAGAATAAGAAACCAAGGAGCAATGAGGCACCAATGTAACTCACACAGCATTATAAAAAGACACGAGTGAACTAATCTCTCTAATGAATTCACATAAGATGTTAGAAGGAAAAATTTTACATAGGATCTTTTAGAGAAAAACTACATGTTAACTGGTTCAGCTGGCTAAAACACCTACACAATTTGGGAAGAGTAGGGAGGATAGCTTGTAACTATTTCAGATGGGAAAAATAGCAACTTATTACAACAAATTTTTCAACAAACAATTTCCCTTTAGTTATTTAATCATCCAAGAGAAAAGAAAACATTAAGTGACCAAAAGAAGAAACAAATATACCTTGTAATTCCATCTTTGATGTAGTAAAGCAGGCATTCAGACATTAGTGGGTCCTCATTGAGGTTAACAAGATGTGGGGTCTGAAAAAGGTTATAGATTATCAACTCGGAGCAAGCACCACTGAGAGGGCTGTGACAATAACAGGGACCTACAAGAGGCTGGTGGCTTCTTGGATTACCCACAGTGCCTAGAAGAGGGACTTTTATTCCTAGTTGCAAGTTCATAACAAACAGAAAACACTCTCCTCAGGCCTTCCCAAACTGCACTAATGCATTCTATTCAAAAACATAAGTTCTGGGATAAAGAGTAAGATCCAATTCTTGATAGGGTCAAAGCATGCAGAATATAAAAGAAAAATTAGGACAGGATGATTCTCTGGATGGGTTAAGATAATTTTTGTAAACACTTGGACAAAATCTTGAAGAGCAGCAGAACATGGCACCCCAAAATATGCCACTTTGACATTGATTATTTTGAGCTGAAGGCATCTGAAAAGCAATAAATGCAGGGAGAGGCTTTCTCTGAACTCTGTTTATCCGCCTAAAGACAGATGTCCAAAAGGAGCGTGATTGTTATAGATCCCCTCCAGGAGTTTCATCAACCAGGGAAGATGGACCGTTGTGGTTGGAGAGAGAAAACCACAAGTCAACATCACACCCAGACAAACTTGGACATAAACTATCATTCCTCTCACCTATTCTTCTAAAGGTCCATTCAAATGATTTTTAGGAATCATTTGCTCTCCCTTGAGAGGCCTATCTCCTTCCTCCCCTTTCCCTATTAAGATATTTAAGCCAGAATTCTAAGCCACCTTGGCAAGTTACTCATTTTTCCCCGGACCTCTCCCATGTAAGCATGAGGTATAGATGTCAATAAACTTCTCTTTGTTTTTCTCCTGTTAATCTGTCTTTTATTACAGGGGTCTCAGACAAGAACTCAGAAGGTTAGAGGGAAAATTATTCTTCCTTCCCTACAATCTCAAGAAATATTTAATTTTTCATTTACTTTATAAAAATGTCCCCACACCCCCTGTCATTCCCCTCTCTAATTTGTATCAGTTCTTCCATGGCCTCAGTCATTATCTTTAGTCTTCATTTTACCACCTCTATTAGTCTTCACCTTAAAGAAGAAATTAAAATTACTGACATTCAATAATACACACATCTTGTAAAAATCCTCTTTGTCTAATATTTCTAAAATCTTTTAAAAACCAACCTTCTTTGGTGAAAATACCCCACTGGAATCCAAAAATAAGTCACATGGTCTTGGGGTCAAAATCTACTCAAGATAGTGCCAGCAAATGTGGAAAAACGAAAGAAGAATCAGATGAGAGGGTTAAGAAAAGAGACTGCAAAAGATGATTAAAGAGAAATTAGAAAAACTTCTGTATCTTCCTAACTAGCATCTGCCTCTGTTGTTTAAGAGCTTTGCTGGTTTCAAAGAGTCAAAGACTGCGTGGGTAGCATTCTTTAAAACCCATCATGACAGTGGCCTAAGAAAAAAGGAATCTCAGAAATAGATTCTTTTTTTTTTCTTGCCTTTAAAGTATTCTCCCCTCAGTTTCACTGAGGTATGACTGACAAATAAAAATAGTATATACTTAGGTTGTACAACACAATTTTTTTAAGGTGTACAATGTGTCAATTTAATATGTACACATTGTGCAACGATTACCACAATCAAGTTAACACATCAGAAACAGGCTCTAAAACTGAATTTGGATGTGGTGTATCCTTTCCTTTCCTGAGTAACTCGAGAAAGCTAATGCAAGATGGGTAAAATTAAAGTCAGAAAAAGCTGTGGAAACAGAAATCTCAGTTTGGAATTCTGTGCCGTTTACACCACAATACTTATTTAAGTTATTTATGATTTGTGGGTTTTTTTTTTTGGGAGGAAGATCAGCCCTGAGCTAACATCTGCCAATCCTCCTCTTTTTGCTGGGGAAGACTGGCCCTGGGCTAACATTCATGCCCATCTTCCTCCACTTTATATGGCACACCGCCACAGCATGGCTTGATAAGGGGTGTGGTGGTGCACGCCTGGGATCCGAAACCCAGGCCGCTGAGTGGAGTGCACACACTTAACCACTGCGCCGCCAGGCCGGCCCCTATGATTTGTTTTAAATACTGTATTTTTATAAGCTGTTATATAAAAATTTTCCCCACAGTTCTTAACATTGAAAGTTTGTTATAAAATATCATTAGATATATCCAAAGTCACAATCTAAATTCTATGAAACCTATAGCTGCTAAAATCTCTATAATCATAAGTAATACAGTTGAATAAATAATGCCTTACTGAAGGAAAAACTATTAAACTGTGAAAATTACTGACCTTTGGCAATATAAACATAAAATACTTATCATTCTAGTTCTACAATATCTAAAATGTCTTTAAATCAATCTTTGTTAAAAATAACACATTGGAATTGATTAAAAAGTTACATGACCTTAATAGAAAAACCTAACCAAAAGAATTCTAGCAAAAACCACAGGAATATTTCATATCGCATAAAACAAAAAGTACCAAGTGAAAACTCCCTACTTATTCTATGCTAACCTAGAGAGATCATCATCAGACTCTTGCATGAAGATGTGTAAGTCTTCAAAAGCCAATTTGAGATCATTCAAAATGAAGAACCATTTATTACTGGTATGAAATATCTACTCTGTACATCTATGTACATACAAATATATGTTCTATTATTGTCACATAAATAAGCACACAAAATAATCATTTGACAATAGTTTTCCAACATCTAACAATAACTAAGAAGCAGCTTGGTAAAAACAAAAACAAAAACAAAAAAATCTTGCTATTCTAATTAGCTAAAAGGTATCTACTATTTAACAACTATGATTATGTAAGTAGGAAGATAACTACTGGACTCATTTTTTTTAAAAAACTGAGAATGGAGCAGAGGAGGCTAGAAGGATGAGGACAGGAATTGCCCTACTCAATGGTGGTCTACAACACAGAGTGTAGAAGCAAACCGAAGCAGTATTTGTCTACACAAACCTGAACAGCTGAAATTGCTTCCAAAGAGTTACAAATCAGGGTTGCTGGCATCTTTGGGAAAATCTATACAGAAAGAGTAGCCAAACTGAAGCAAGGTATGGCAGGTTAGGGGGAGAATTTAAGAGAAAGCAACAATGAAGATGGTTAAAGGTACTGAATCATGACCAAAAGTTACAGATTTACTGCCTTGGGTTTTATTTTGTAAACAATAAACATGACAGGTATTTTAGAAATATTCTGCCCTTGTACTGTAAGATGAAATCAGAAATAAAATTAAGCCAAGTCTCAAGACAAAAAAAAAAAAAGAGAGGAGAAGGGGCCAGTCCTGAAAGATAGGAAGCACCTCAGTGACTAAGATGAAACAAAAAGTGTTTCTGTTTGGTTGAGTTTCACATTATTTTCTACCTTTTTAGGTGAGAAAACCCCCAGTGTTCCTCCATCTTCCCGAATGGCAACTCCCATCTCAGCCAACAAGGCCTCTCTAGAAAAAACAACAAGCATATCAGAATATCAATACCAAAATGTCAGATCAGTCTAATATGAACTGGAAAATAAAGCATGCAAAGCAAAAACAATTGTCCATGTTTAAAGTCACTAATACGAATGTAAATGAATCTGCTTATCCCATCATTAATTTTCCCATCATTAATGAAAAATTATTTTTAAGAGAAACAGCACATTCAAAATAAATTATGTTTCTATGTTAGGTAAAGTTATATTCACCCTAATAAGATAAGAACTTGGCTCATCTGACTTTGAAGGTAGACAATAATTCATAAATAATATGTCTATTAATATATAAAAAGGAAGAAAGGGATATTCCTTAAGGCTATACATTCAATTCAAGGAACCATTTCTTAAAACTCTAAGATAGCAATCAGAAAGTAACTCTGATATATGGAGTATTATCTATAAATGTGATTTTCTCAAATGTTATGTTCCCATGCTTACCTTCAAACTGGTTCAACAATTCTAGCTTAAAATCTCTATATACTAAATAAGAAAATTCTAATTATTTGATACATTTACTGTATCAATACATTAGAACTCACTTCTGCCTCATATTCTGTGAAGGGGGAAGACAGGAACTGACGTTTTTAAATGTATATTTATTCAAATAGCAAAAGTATTCTTTTGGGTTATGTTCACCTTCACGGTAGAGAACTGAGAGGTTAAGACAGAATAGGGATTTTAAAATTTTGCAATTCAAACTACTTCACTTCTTACCAAAGAGGTTCTGGAAAAGAAAACCCTGAAAGACAATAATCAGAACAGCTTTTTTTATTTAGTCTTTATCAAAGGCTGTCTTTTTACAAATTAAAAACTCTAAACCCCTCCGTATCTTCCATTTTTATATGGATCCCTAGCAACAGGTAGTACAGTAACTATTTAAGCACATGACTCCCTAGGGAACATTTAAATATGTGAATTTCACTTCAAAGTGTAAATTCAACTGGCCATAAACCCCTAGTCAGGTTTATTTTTTGTTTTGTTTTGTGTTTTGAGAGGAAAAGTTCTTTGTTTTTAACTTCTATTTTATCTTTTCTTACTATAAAAGTAATCCAAATTTCCTAGAAAATTTAGAAACATTCCCAGAGTTTAACCTCCTGACCTCTCCATTCTGATGGCCTCTGTTTTACGTAGCTTCTCTTCCCAGGTTTCATTTAACTCAGCAATGATCTTCTCTGATTCCTAAGGGAGGAAGTCCACAGTTAAGGTTGCAAAGAGTCTTATAATTTAACATACCACGTCTAGGAAAGACAACAAGAAGCAGACAACGCCCTTGAGGATATGAGGCAGAATATAATACGATGAGACTTGTTTCTTTTCTTAATATGTGAAGTAAAAATCATAAAGACTAGGCCTAACACTAAATCAGCACCAAATATATTCTCTTAAGTCCTAAGAAAAATACTTTAATTGTGTGCGTGTGTGTATGTGAGAGAGAAACAGAGAGAGAGAGAGAGAGAGAGAGAGAGACTGAGAGTGAGAGTGTGTGCGTGTTTGTGTGCAGAAGCAAGGACAATATTAACATCCCAAAATGCAAGGCACTATTTCTGACAGCCACTTTCACAAAAGTATGAAGTCCCCAAAGGTATCCCTTGCTTTGTTTCACTATAATTTCACCACTGATGGGGTTCAGAACATGCTCCCCCAAAATATGCCACGTTGGCATATTGAATATTCTAAGCTGAAATAAACTGAGAAATGGCAGGTGCAGGAAGGACTCTCTGATCTCCTCCTGAAGCAGGCCATAAGACCCTCATGAGAGACGCCCTCCCTATATCCGGAGGAAAGGAGCATCCTTATCTCTAAGATGGAAGAACTCCAAGAGGAATCTGAACAAACAGGCCTTGCTAGATCTCCCCCAGTTTACTGCTCTTAGCTCATACCCCTTTGTCCTATCACGTTTTCCCATGACTTTCCACTCTTCATCAAATCTAGCATAAAAATGCTCAGGTTTAACACTTCTTTAGGTCTTCATTTCCTTATGAAGGCTCCTATGTCACCTAAAAATTATATTAAATAAATCTATATGCTTTTCTCTTATTAATCTGCCTTTTGTTACAAGGGCCCCAGCCAAGAATTTAGAAAGGCAGAAGGAAAGATATTTTTCCTCCCCTACAACACAATACCCTCCTGAACACAACCCAATAAGCAATATAGAAAGGTTTAGTATTAATCTCATCGGAAGGTTTGTAGCTACTGAAGTGACAATTCCCTAGTCTCTTGCTGAGTGTTTATCATATGCCAGAAATATAAGAACTAAAACGTGTTTCCTGCTCTCAAGGAGCTTACTATATACTAGGGAGAGAAAGAAGTAACTGATGATTCACTCATTCAATAATTACATATAACCCCATTATATGCCAAGCCCTGTTCTAGGCAACTAGGGATATGGCAGGGATCAAAATTCCTACCTTCATGAGACTTACATTCTAGTAAAGAGACTGAGATAACCCAATCAATTATAATCAATAAGTCAAGTATATAGTATGTCAGACAGTGATAAGTGCTTTGGAGAAAAATAAAGCCAGGGAGGGAAAGAACGGAGGGGGAGGAGCATTTTGGAGTGGGGTTGTCAGGACAGGGCTCACTGACAAGGTTCTTATGTAAGCAGAGACAAGGAAGAGCATGAGCTGCCACATGGGTATGTGAGGGAATAGGTAGGAAATGCCTGGAATCTTCCAGGAACAACCGTATAGCTATAGCAGCATGTTTGAAGACTGTGAATGGGTATGGTAGGAGAAAACAACAGAACAGTGAGCTAAGTGCTAGAAGTGAAGTATTCACAGGTCACTAGAGGGTGGGTGAGTAAGGGCTGAGTGATGCTCACACCAATGAATGAAGGACAAGTAGGAATTGACCAGGCGAAAAATGGAGGGAGAAGGAGCACCAAAAAGGGGGATGAGTATATGCAAAAAGCAGGAAAAATGCTAGTCAGGGAGACAAAATTAGAAAGTCAGATGATGATGATGGTGAGATGATACTAGTGATGATAGTAGTGGTAGTGATTAAGGATGAAAAGTCTTAATAGTTCACAAAATATTTCATTGTATGATTCATTCAACAGGCTATTATGAGAAGCCTCTGGGATCCCAAAACATCATTGTCTACATAGAAAGAAATTGTGAATATTTAATACAATAAAACGTTAAGGTGTCTGGTACTTGGTTTTCAGAACGAGGCATGGGAGCATATAAAAAAGCCAAGAGTCAAGACTCAAGGCTGCAGCTGCAAAAGCAAAGGAGTACAGGAGGCAGGAGAAACAAACAGGAGAGCATGATGATGATAAAGAAGCAAGAAGAACAACTAACTAAGCTAGGCAAAGAGCAAAACTGATGAAAGAAACAGCATGGGCATCAGTAAAGTTGATATAAAGGGGGTCATGGAGGAGGTACTCTTTCAGAAAAGAGTCGGTTACAAACTGGGAGAAGCCAGGACAAGTCTGCAGCGGGGGGGGGCGGGGGAAATGGAGAGAAAGAGACAAAAACAACCTAAATTGGCTCTCATTAACCCTCCAAACACACACAGAGGCTGAAAGACTAAAACAGCTACCTGAATGGCATCTCTACACAGTCCTCCAAAAGGAATGATTAATATGCAGTGCATGTGCCACCCCAAAGCTAAGTAAGGAAACAACATGCCATGCTAGAGGGCCAGCACCAAGAAAAACGCACACAATTCCGGCAAGGAGTGAGACAGCCAGGAAAGGAAGTGTACCAGGTACCAAGTGATCAATAGCGTATCTAGACAGCACGACAAAGGTTACTTGACACTAACTCTGACAGAGCAGTGTTAAATGCTTCTGCAAATGACTGTAAAAGGACAAGTACAAGACAAGCTGACACCATAACCTCTACGATAGTAAGGCTTATTAAAGACAGCTGGATAGAAAACTTTACAATTTCAAAGTGACAACTTCAAAAACAAAGGAACAATATGATGCCCCTGACCAAACCAGAGCACCTAGACTAGCGCTTATTACATGGAGTGTGGCCCATAAGCCACTGATGTTGGTTATGGAATACAAATTGACTCACGAGATACTTAAAATACATTATTTTCCCTGGTTGGTTATCTTCAGAAAAAGATCACGTCAGAACAAAGGTTTATCTAGCTGTATTAAGGTGATTCTATTTTGGAGCAACCGTAAACTCACCCCAAGGAAGCAAAGTTACTGTCTAGGAATCCTCTTACCATTTTGCTGCCAGCTCTCATGTGACCTCTCTAATTTTACTTACCATCTGAAAGGTAAATCAGAACAAGATCTCTTTGTAGAAAAGAGATTTATTGAGTAAGCTGAGTAAGGTACTATTCTTATTTGTCATTACAGCTTCAAGTTGCAATTTTTATGTTGTCTAGAAAGTTTTTTAAAAACTGAATAAACCAACACACAGACAGAGAAAACTGTATAGTGGTTACCAGGAGCACAAGCGGTGAAGGGAGACACGTATATTGCGATTGGCAAATAATAATGTACAACCAAAATTTCACAGTTATAAACTATTAAGACATCAATAAAAATACATAAAAATTTCAGTCCAGGGAGCCTTACCCACCAAACCTCATTAACCACCCTCCCAACAGCTGCACTTTAGTATTATTTTGATACAGAAAAGATTATATACTCTTTGTAGGTAAAATATAGTGCATTAAAAACAAAACCTACTAAATGCAACGTGGTATCCAGGATTAGATCCTGGAACAGAAAAAGGATATTAGTGGGAAAACTGGTGAAATCTGAATAAAATCTGAAGTTTAGTTAATACTAACGTACAGATGTTAATCTCTTAGTTTTGACAAATGTGCCATAGTTTTGTTTTGTTTTTTGTGAGGAAGATCAGCGCTGAGCTAACATCCACGCTAATCCTCCTCTTTTTGCAGAGAAAGACCAGCTCTGAGCTAACATCTATTGCCAATCCTCCTCCTTTTTTTCCCCAAAGCCCCAGTAGATAGTTGTATGTCATAGTTGCACATCCTTCTAGTTGCTGTATGTGGGACGCGGCCTCAGCGTGGCCGGAGAAGTGGTGCGTCGGTGCATGCCCAGGGTCCGAACCCGGGCCGCCAGTAGTAGAGCGCGTGCACTTAACCACTAAGCCACGGGGCCAGCCCTGTGACACAGTTTTATATAAGATGTTAAAATTAGAGGAAATTGAGTGATGAATATATAACTCTGTACTATCTTTGCAACCTTTCTCTAAAATTATTCAAAATAAAAAATTTTACTTAAAAAAAAAACTCTGAATAAAGGTTAGAGAAAATGATACTGTCATATTAGCAAAACTTCAGTGCTGGAAAAAGCCATTTCTTCCAGAAGCACTCTAGACATAAAGAAACTGAAGACCAGAGAAGCTAAGTGATTAACCTGAGGCCACTCTACTCCCTGAGCCAGGTCTAGAACTGGGTTTCCTGACTGTTAGAGTTTTTTCTTCAAGTAAGGCAGAATTGATAGGCTTTAAAGAAAATATTCTACAAAACAGCTCACCATAAATTAAGAAAAAGTAAAGGATATTCTTTCTTCAAGCTGAATAACAAACTTAATATAAATGAAATAATGATTCCCATAGGAAGACAGCTTTCAATCTCTGAGTCATCAACTCACACTGCAGGCAGGCCTGGCATGCTGGTGTCCAGTGCTGCCTATAACCCACTCTAGAAGCCTAATTTAAGATTAAATTGAAATTGGGATTCACGCTTCAGAAATGAAGACTCAAGATAATCTTTAAGGGTTCTTCCTTCCTATAGGTACTACATATAAAAGAATTCCGAAAAACAGAGTGACATCAGGAACTTTTTTTTTTAAGCTCCAAGGAATGTTGGGCTCAGGCATCATTCAACTTCGGTCTTATATCATGTATGTCTACTTCGGTCTTATATCATATATGTCTAGCTATTTGTATAGCACTGGTTAATAATTATATTCATATGGCTAAACACCATTTAATCTCTTCATCATGACTCAGTTAAGGTGGTAGAGAAATCCACAGAACACGTCAGAAATATTCCCAAGAAAAAAATTACAGTTTAAATTGTGATATTTAAAAGGTTAAAGGCTTACTACATGGAACATTCCTTGAAGCCATCAGATAGCCAAGGTTTTACTGTACTGAACACGGCATGCTTCATAAGTGAGTTTCAAGTGTGGGGCCCTCAGGCTGCCTAGCACAGCATTTGCCCTTGCGTGCTTCTGTAATGGATATTTGTGGATATTTATAGTATAAGCCAAAGCAATGGCACTCACAGTACTGACTTTGATGCCAGACTAATAAACAAATACTGGAGCCACCACACAGTAGCTGTAGCTACATATTTAAAACCTTATTGAATAGGAATCCAAATTAAGGATACATACATTTCAACACAGTTTGAGTTGTGACTAAAAACTGAAAGCAATTACATTTCACTCCCTTTTGCCAGAGAGGTTTACGGAGGGCTCAAGATATTTATGATGGGGTAACATGGGTCTCTTCCCTATGGAAACAGGCTATTCAATGAACGAAGCTGTAGCAACACCCTGTGTAAAAATATTCTACCAACTGATAATTTTTTTAAAGTCAAAAATAAAGAGAAGGAAAGGGAAATAAAATGTTAGAAAAATGAATTAACCTCCTCTATTACTGTTTTCCATTACAGTATTTTTCTCCTGCAGTGTCATGTCTTAGGAACACAGCTCCTTCACACACTCAACAATGAAATAGTCCAAAAATGAGAAATTCTCGAGCATTTCTATCCTACAACTACTGCCTTGCACTGTGGATGCATGATGTTATCTGCCTGCAGCATTTAAATGCAGGTCTGCTGGAATGGAATTTCCACCATTCGCAAAACAGAGCAGAACTAAGGCGCTTATGCTCCAGTGAACTACCATGCTGCATTAAAAACTCAAGATTGAATGCAAAACCATAAAGAAGCTATTCTCTAAAGCTAGGGGAAAATGGAAGATTTCATTTATTTGGCTTAAAGGAGAATTAAAACAGAAATTTATTTTCTCATGGAAGAAGCACAGTTTCATTTTGTTTTGTTTTGGGTGGAAAGTAGGGAGTTTAGGGGGAGGGATCTCTGAATAATGGCAATGTTACTCCCTAGAAACTATCTGGAAGACACTGGGTAACCTAATTCTTCAAGAGTCTGGTTAATGTCTTGACTCCTAACATTCAATGTTATTTTCATTTGGTCCCACTTGGCAATTAGGAATTTTTTTCTTTTACACCAAGATGTATGTTAAAGGAAAGTGTAATCTGATTTGTACAGTAAGGCTTTAATAAGCAAATAGTAAGATTCAAAATCTCCAAAGAAAAAGAACATTTTATATTAAATAGTAAGTGGGAGATTTCACTTTTCCTTCCCACAGAACCCCTGCATTTCCCCCAATGGCCTGAATAGAACCCTGCACAGCAATTCTGTCAGTGATGCCTATTGTGATCAAATACATGAATAAAGCCTTCCTGCATGGGACTTCACTAATGTCTTTAATAACATTTCAAAGTCCATTGTACAACAGCAGAAATTACCCTTCAATTTGCAACATTTAATGAAAAGATTTCTCACTCCCTCCTCCCGCTGCCAGAACTTTTCTCCTGCAGTGTCACGTCTTAGGAACACACCCACTTCAGAACTTCACCCACTTTCCATTAACATGTTCTGAAGGAAGACACAAGATCATTCCTTCTGTTTCCGAAGCACCTTAGGTTTGAAGTGAGTAAAAGACCAAGGGAAAAGGTAGGCTGATTACGAAGCAGAAGCCCATTCTTCACATAAAATCTTTTTCAGCCTCACCTGAAAACCAAAAGGAAAGCATCTGCCATCTTCAATTATCAAGCTAATTCCCTTTTAGTGGTAAAAGGGTTAGCAAACCTTTTCAATTGTTTATTTGTCAGTGTGTCACTGTTCTCCCCAGTCCTTGAATGAGCAGCAGCCGTGGAGAATACTGAGTGCAACATGAAGAGGACTGTTAGCTGCATGAAGTGCCTCACTGCAATTTCCCAGCTCCTTAAAAAGTTTCTTTGCCCTCCTCGTTTTTCCTATCCTGGTACTCTTGAAAACAAAGGCTAAAAGGTAGGGATCAAGATGACAAGCAGGAAAAGAAAAAGCATTTGTGATGCTGTCACAGTCATGTGATGGATAGCACCCCAGGTGACAAATGTCTGCTCTCACTGTAGTCAGAGAGGAGAGGAAGAACCTCTGAGTCAGAAGGCTTTGCTGTTCCTAACTTTCATGCTCATGGAGAGAGACAAAAAAGTACCTGACGGAGCCAGCAACAGGCTGGGAAAGCAAAGCTGGGCCCCACGGCAGGTGATGTACACACACAAGACTTAAGCACACAGCACTGAGGCCCACGACCCCATGTGCACCAGCACAGGAAGAGGCAGCCCTTCCACAGTAGTGATCACAGGGTTCCAAGGCTTTCTATGAACTTTCAGAAGGTATCATTTCACGAGTCTCTGGATAAACCTGGCACAGCTCCTCTTTCCCTGGTACAGAAAGTTCAAACTTTCTTTTGATTGTATATTTATTTTACTAACAGCAGCATGGCTCTATGTAGACTTGCATCTTCAAATGAAACCAAATGTTTCCAACTAATTCATTAGTTTCCAACTAAATTTCTAATGAAACAATTTCACTGTGACTTATAAACTACCTCAGAATTAAGGTACATCTCTACTTATCAGTTACTTTACATGGCCCACCTATGATCTGCCCATGCACCTCTCCTATCTCTGCCTGGCCATATCAGACTCAAGCATTCTGGTGAAAAGAAATTATCTTACAAAGCAGCAAATTCCATTTTTAGGACACCTGTAAGAGCCAGAAAGTTCTTCCATATGCTGAACCAAAATCTCAGCGATTTTTAGTCCTAATTCTGCTTTGTGGAGCTACACAGAATACCTTTTATTCAGTCTGAATTTTACTTACCTTTAGACGTTCAATGGCTTCCTCTCCTCCAGGTGTAGACATGATCCTCTCCTGAATACTGGTCACAGATGTTAAGCCCACTTGACTATTGAGTGAGCAGGAAGAAGGAGATGAAGTAAGGGACCCCATGGATGCTGTGGAAAAATTGCCAGGGCGTTGATTCTCAGAGGCTAGCAAGTACCTATGCTTATTGTTCTGAAAATCTTTCAGATCTGAGAGACAGAAAGAAGGGAAGGCAGAAAAAGTGGAAAAGAGGGAAAGGAGAAGAGGAAGAAAAAAAGAAAGGAAGGAACACCAGTGTAAGAAAGGACAGCATTAAAGCGCCAAGACAAAGACACGTTATAATACAAGGACAAGTTATAATTGTTCTAGATGGCAGTTCTAAAACATGTCTGTCTTTACTGGTATCTAGAGGCTAAGAACTGTGTCTGGTAGGGGGTAACCAGAGCCTCAAAGGTTACTGCTTAGGCACTCTCCCTAAACAGCCAAGCTATGTTCGTTCTATGGCTCCAAACCTACAATGTCTTAGATTTACACAACTCTTAAATCCCAGTAGCTTGTAACAGTAAGAGGAAAAAGACAATCATTTATTTATCAATAATAATACATATCAGCCTAGCCCAGTGTTTTATGGCATTCAGCAAAAATTCCCAAGAAAATGTTACAGTTAAAACAAAAATCTGAGCACTTAGTAGTCGTGTCCTTTGTATAGCAACATTTCAACATGATAAAAAGAATTTTTTAAGTATGTCTTTAAAAAAAAAGGAGAGGTAGAGGCCAGCCCCATGGCATAGTAGTTAACTTCAGCGCATTCCACTTTGGTGGACTGGGATCTCAGGTTTGGATCCCAGGTGCGGACCTACACCACTCGTCAGCCACGCTGTGGCGGCAACCCACATATAAAGTAGAGGAAGACTGGCACAGATGTTAGCTCAGGGCTAATCTTCCTCAGCACAAAAAAAAAAAAAAAGGAGAGGTAATTGTAGAAATGACAGGAATTTTGTATAAGTCCTGGTTAAGAACTCAGGGCCCTTGGGCCGGCTCCGTGGCTTAGCGGTTAAGTGCGTGCGCTCTGATGCTGGCGGCCCGGGTTCGGATCCCGGGAGCGCCCCGAGGCACCACTTCTCCGTCCAACGCGAGGCCGAGTCCCACGTACAGCAACTAGAGGGATGTGAACCTATGACATACAACTATCTACTGGGGCTTTGGGGGGAAAAAACTGAATAAATAAAATCTTTAAAAAAAAAAAAAAAAAAAAAAACTTTAAAAAAAAAAAAAAAAAAAGAACTCAGGGCCGACTGATTGCCTCAACAGGGAAGAACAGTTAGCAAATTAATGAATTTGGTGTAGTTTACGTTCATCTATTAGAGCAAGCAAAAATTAAGGCCCATTACCTGCTAATTTAAGTAAGGCTCTTACTTTGTCTAACAGTATGACCATGAGTCATTGGTAAGCCAAGTTCCTAGTATGAAATGCAAGTCTTAGGGACATACTTCCATTTACTAAGATCTTTAATAGAGCTGTAAATTTTGCTTTTAAACTTAGTTTTGGTATAAAGAGCCACAAACAACAAAATTCATTAATCTGCTATTTGTACTTTCCTTTATTAGTCATCCTTCTCAAACAGACACCAGAGGAAACCCATGGGTATTGGTGCATTCCTATTTTAAAATTAACTCACTTTTAAATTTGAGAAAATCTACATTGCTTAAAATTCATATCAAAACTAAGTAACTTTTCCTTAAAGGATATACTGTGAGTCAATACAAAGAGTCAGAAAAAATATTATTGGCTCTCTCTGGGTCTACTCATCCCTACTTAATCAAAGTCAGTTCTTAAAGCTCCTTAAAACCAGTGGTTGCTTCAAGACAGTTTGAAAACCACCATCTGCAAATACGGAACATAGGAAAACAAGCAAGTTTTAAAAGAAGGATAGAAACTGGAGCAAAAAATTAGCCATCAGGTGATGGCAGCAAGGTAGGAAAGAATAGGATACATGGAGTTTAGAAGGTCCGATGGACACATGCAAGCCCTAAAAGGAATTAAGAGTAGTAGATCAAAACGGAAATTCAGAAGTAGTCAGGGCTGCTTTCCTGCATGGATACAGAATTAAAACTTCGTCATGCATAGCTTTTCAGGAGATTCCACAACTGCTCAGAAAAGAGTGGGGCAACAAGCTGGCAGCAGCACCACCTGGAGCACAAAAGCAAGAACAAGACGGTGTCTTGCCTACACTAGTATCGGCCAGCTTTGGAGATCTCAGACAGAGCTGTTCCAGTCCAATAGGCTCTCTGTATTGCAATGTTACAGTGTCTTCCAGGCCTAACCTCATCACAGCAGCCAGGGCTACGTTGAGTTTCTCCTATACATTTCCTTACTGTCTGTCAAGCCTTGTTACATGCCTCGTTAAATGAACAAACAAATCAATGAAAACCTAAAACTTAATCCAAAAAATCAAGATTCTTCATTTCTTCTAAGATAACAATTCCTTGATGAATTATCTTAAAAGGGTAAGAAATTATTTCCTCACCAACTTAACGATCTATATGGAGAAAATAATCAGGAGTGATCCTTTAAAAAAAGTCCTCATTTCAAGCACAAATTCTAGACACCCAAGGTTTTAAAATTTAATTTGTAACTCATGAAAAGGAAAAAAAAAATGTTTACCTAACCATCAAGTAAGCTGAGGCCCAAGATATGGAGGAAACTAACTTAGCATAAGCACAGGTGAGTGCTACCACGTGCACAGAGCTACTCAATCATGGAGAGTTTGGCCAAATGGAAATGATTATTATTTTTTTTTTGAAATGATTATTTTTAATTATATACACACTAAGACTCAGAATTAGATAGCTAATTAAAAAGGATTTTTCTACTAAATAATCGGATCCTGAAGGATCTCAAGAGGCCAAAAAAGGTGTAATAACGATTAAAAGCTAGTGCTCTGAGTTACACTACCCAACCAGCCCACATAAAAACCATGGGAGCTCAGTAGCAAACTAACCACTCCAAGTAGCAGAGTCCTCACTGGTAAAATGGACATAATGGAACTTTTTCAGAGTCACTGACAGGATTAATGAGATAATATATTCCAGGTCCCTAGAACAAGGGCTTAGCACATTATAAACACCAATAAATGTGAGCTGCTGTCATCACTACCATCATCTAAGACTTTGGATGCAGTTTAATCACATAACTGGAAAAACTGAAGAGCAGAAGCAAGAGATTCTTAAGCCTCTTGATTTTATTCAAGTCACAAACTGAAATTCAGTAAAGACTGCGTTGCTAAATGAGGAAGGGCAAAAACAGGATCATTTCTGAATCTACAGTATGCTCTGTCTGGGATTTCCCTGTTAGGATTACTGGCATGCAAAGCTCATTTTAAGGCTGATCCAGCAGAGGCATATTAGCAAGTCAGAGTACTGGAAATAACCAATACATGAAATACACACATTTGCCTCCACTTCCAGAGTAATCATCGATCAATGGATCAACTGAAGGTAAGCAGGAGGGAAAATACAAGAAGGGTCAAAGTTCAGGTTCAGCAGTGACAAAGAGAGGGAACAGAGCAGTATTTGGCATTTGGGAAAATGAAAAAATACACACTTAGAATATATTATCATTTTACAAACTGTATTCATCTAAACTTAGGTGCCAATCAGTAAGAAGAACTAAACTAGAAGAAGCCTTGAAAATCTTATTAGAATTCCAAACAATATATTAATTTTACACTCAAAAAATAAAAATATGCTTTTTAAAATAAACTCATATACTATTCCACCAGAATAATCTAATTAACTCACTTAGAACTTCTGATTAGACATTATATAGGTAGATCACTGAGGGTAAAAAAAATATTCATTTTAAGACAACATTGTAAAACAATACTCTCTGGAAGTCTAATTCTTGAATTTGATAAGGAATTGGATATTTTCCCCTTCATATATTCATAGGGAGCGGGGTGGGGAACATTCAATCATTCTGCAGGAGGGGAAAGATACCACCGAAAGGTAAATATTATCTGAAAGGAGACTGAAATGGTGGGTTTCTTACACATAGATTACTGCTACTACATTAATCCAGAGAAACCCATAACACAAAAACAAAAATTTCAAGTTAACATATTTATGAAGTGATTAATTTCTCAGTGAGAAGCTTAACATTCCAAATAAACTTTACTGCTGATCTAAAATAGAAATCTAATAAAAATACAAGTAGTGATATATTCATATTTTAAAAAATAATTTCATGAGTTCAAATGGATAGCCTGGCACATACCACATAAAGGAATTCTGAGATGATGTTTCTTGTTTTTATTTTTTTCTTAACATCCTAAAAGACCGTTTCTCTACCATCTAGCTTCATCAAGTTCCTTAAATCTAAGTTTAAATATAAGAACCCTGAAGAGGAAAGGATTAGATTTTGTGTTGATCCTTAATTCACTTACTATCAATAATATCTCCCAGCCCTTGAGCACGAAGAAGGTCCTTCAGCCGTGTTACCTCCTCTTTTAATTCACGAACCAGTTTTGCATTGGGGTCCTCATTGATAACAGCATTGCATTTAATTTGTTTTGCACGATCTGCATATCTAGATCCAAAATGAAAATTCATTTTTGCCATTCCTCAGATGCTCTACTTCTCATAAGTGACATACCATTATTTCTAAAACAAACCACTTGAGTATTGACACATTTTATGAGCCTTTAATACATTTGCAGAAAGCTTTACAGTACCTTATAAAGAAAAGGTCAAAATGCATTTAACTGATTTATCCAAGATCACAAAGGAAATAAATACCAGAGAGGACTCAAAACTAATTTGTCCGAGTATATAGCGTTCCTTCCATTATATCAAGTGTCTTCAATGAGAGCAGAGTAGGGAGTTCTGGGTTAAAGTAATGGAACCTGTTCATATATAGAAATATTCTAGTAATGAACAATCTGCCAGTAGTTTTTTTTAATGCTACATATACTCATAATTGTATTACTTCTTATGACTTGAGCATTTCTAAAATGACAAACACCGCAAGAGGATACCTCTTTTTATAGAAATGAGTATTATAAAAAACTTTGACTATTATCTAAAAGTTATCCAAACATCTCACTTGAGGAATTTTAATATCTTTCCTATGCAAAAGTTCCTGCCTTTCCCAATGAAACTGAAAACCATAAAGGGTAAGTTCTAATATAATAAAAATCCTTTTTTCCCCATGTTTTCCCTGTTATGAGAGGAATGGATCACTACTTACACAAATGACTACCCATACAGCAAAAGAAAACCCACAGCATCCAAGTCATAAAAAATTACTTGTGGGCCGGCCCGGTGGCTTAGCGGTTAAGTGCTCACGCTCCGCTACTGGCGGCCCGGGTTCGGATCCGGGCCCGCACTGACGCACCGCTTCTTCGGCCATGCTGTGGCCGCGTCCCACATACAGCAACTAGAAGGATGTGCAACTATGACATACAACTATCTACTGGGGCTTTGGGGAAAAAAAAACGAGGAGGATTGGCAGTAGATGTTAGCTCAGAGCCGGTCTTCCTCAGCAAAAAGAGGAGGATTAGCATGGATGTTAGCTCAGGGCTGATCTCCCTCACAAAAAAAAAACATTACTTGTGGTGGCACTGTATTCTATTTAGCTATTGGGATTACACTGGAGTACCTCAGAGTGCTCAAAGTTTCATCATAGTTGATATCTGCTGGGCTCAGAGCAGCAACCATTGCAGTCCGAGAATTGCCACCTAAAAAGATAAATCACAATTATCTCAAATCATACTCATCTTAGAAAGAAGAATTTTATTGAATATGTCAAATCAGACAGCACAATCTCAGATCCTAAGATTTAATCAAAGTCAACAAATTTCTTGAGTGTCTCCATGCCAGGCACTGTTATACTCAAATCTTGGGTCTGGATTTACTACGGCCAGTTTCCCTCTTCCTACTCCAATTAAGAACTCAGCCACTCCACCAAAGCCGTTCTTAGTGATGTGAAAGTCACTGGTGACATGGGCAGTCCAACAGGCCATTCTCAGCCTCTTCCTTCTATCAGCAACATTTGACACAGTTGATCACTTCCTCCTTCTCATCAAGAAAGAGGGAACGGGACTAAAGGAACAGTGAATGAAGAGAAGTGACCTGAAGGTCTGAAAATATCAGCAAAAAAGAGTAAGGGCTGGTAACGTCTGATTACGTGCACCTCAAAGGAGCACGGAGTTTTCAAAAAGGAAGAAGCAGCAATAGTTTGAAGTAGGTGTCTGGTCAGGAAGACAACTACTCCACAGTTCATGTCTCCCAAGTCAACTAGACATGGGAGAAAACTCTGATTTAAAAGTAAGCAAATCCAACCAGCTTAAATCAAGAGTAAAAACGAAAAAAAGGAAGGAGCATTCAAGTTAGTAACATAGCTATCTAGAGATTATTCTTCTCTAAAACAGACATACAGGACGATTAACCACAAAAGATAACTGGTAAACAGCTTTAAAAAGATAACTACACACCAGTGTCAACGTACCTAGATTTTCTCGAAGGAGCCAAGTAAGTACAGAATCCCTGTAGGGAATAAAATCAGTTTTCTTCTTCTTCTTACTCTATTAAAACAGAAAGAAATGGCCTTAGCATTATTAGGGAGGAAAAATTCATATAAAAGGCAAATCAGTCTAAAAGTCCCAAGTAAATTAAACTACAGTAGAACTCCATTACTGTTGAAATTGATCACTCCCAGCTTCAATTCTTCACAATACTCAAAACTCATGCAATGAAGTAATTTTCTTTTTATATTTTATTTTGAAAAATGTCTAACATATACAACAGTTTAGAGAGTAGTATAATGAGCTATCATATATCTATCATGCAGCTCCAAAAATTACCAATATTTTGCCAATCAGGTTTCAATTAATCCTCAAACTCTTTTTCTATACTTTTTCTTCCCGAACCATTCTGGAGTAAACTGCAGACACCATGCCCTTTTATTCCTAAACCCTACAGCAAATAAAAACATTCTCTTTGATACAATACTGTTATCTAATATCCTGTCCATATTATGGCTTTTAGAGCTGGTAAAGCAAATCCAACATTTCACCTGTAAATACTTCAGGTACATATCTCTAACACAGAAGGACTTAAAAAAAAACAAAAACAAAACATAACTACATGACCATTATCACACTTAAAATTATCAATATTTCCTTAATATCATCTAATACCTAATTCTCAAACAATTATTTTTACTTTTGCAGAGGGGCAAATATGAATCCTGTGCATTCCAGGTTGAATGTGCAGAAGCAAGTCATTTAGTTAATGAATTTACTTGGCCAACCACCAAATCATCAAGTGGATTGTTGTGCATTTGGTTTCTTTGAAAGGCAATTACGCCCCCAAATAAATCCAACCATTAGAGTTAGGACTCAAAGTGAAAACGTCTAAGCAAGTGATGTAATTTGCTAATTTGGAGATTTGTAAAGACTACAAAAGATGAATTTTCTCTATATGTCAAGAGTTTACTTGTCCTGCTCTCTCTGTGACCCTTCTCATTATCACAGGATAAAGCAAAAAGCACCAATGCAAAGCAAGTGTTGAAATGGAGGAAATTATATCCTCTGAAAGTAAAAGGTAATGCAAATGCTTTGCAGATAATAGCCACTCCAATATCTGCAGGTTGACTACTCTGTCATGATAACTTAAGAAGCTGACAAGGGGAAAGCCAGGGTTCACTGATAAACATCACCCAAGCAATCAGCAGTCTCATAATCCATTCCTGGTATAATCTGAGGTTAAATTAAACTAAGGATGATCTACTTCTTCCAAAGCATAGGTATTCAGAAAAAGAGTACCAAGTAGCTGACCTCTGGTTTGTTGAGGAGGAAAGGAAGTAGGCAAATGGCACTTTAATTCCATCTCTTATCAAAAATGTCCCCTTAGTCTCATCCACTCCACCCACAGACACACATTCCACCAATTAGAAAGTCAATTCCCATAGCAGGTTCTATGTCTAAATTACACACCAGACTTTTACAGAGAATTAACTCTCTCAGTCATTCACAGCTTAGTGGGACTTTCATTCCACCAAAAAATTCCTGAGGCCTAAGACTTGAGCTTGTCTCTTTCTAGTTCTCCACCACACCTAAACAATCCAGTTTGCCTACAGTTACTACTGAAAATGCTGCAAGATTTAAAGTCTGCCAGTTACAACCACTGCAAACAGTAGTATAAAAATAAGCAAGGTCAGCTTGCCAAAAATGTTCTATTTTCATTTCTGTCAATTAGACTAAATTAAGGAGTATCTAAATGAAGAAGCATAAATAGCACTTCAATCTTTTCCATTTGAAAACACCCCAGAATTTTAGCCATTTCTTTTCTATTTGCTCTCTTACACAAATTAAGCTCACCTGCTCTCACATCTGTAATTTTTTTAAATAAGTGCTTCAGTAGTTACACAAAAAGCCTTACTTAGATCATTAACCTCTCTAAAAGGAAAAACTATTAAGTCTGGATGATGATAATCCTGTTTCCCTCCCTAGTGGAAATAACAATACATCTTAACTCACCAAAAATCACACTTGTTACATAAAAACTAAAATTTATTTCTGATCTGTTATAGTTATGACATAGATGCAAAGTACTACAGGGTTTTACAAAACTGATTATAAAAAAGCATTTGCAATTATTGTGGCACAGAGCAATGTGGGAAATATACAGACAAAATACTCTGTAAACTTTTCCTTTGGTTGATGTGAATGTTAACAGATAAGCAAATGAACAGGACAAGTTAGAATGACCACTAAGTTTTAACAGTCTGCATGGTTCTGGGACCCAGATCAGACATCTGAAGAATATCCACAAATGTATAATATCAAATAGAAGATAGATTCTTGAATCTAAGGTAGCTTTTTCACAGAAAAAGGCATTACTTTTTATTAAGTTATTTTTGAGTAGACATAAACAAATCTATATACTTTAAAATATGAGTATAAAATATTTCAATACAGATACTGCCTCTATCTCCAATGTTACTCATGTGATTCAGAACAAACTATTGAGTGTCTATTATTTATGCAAGAGTACTAATAAATTCGAGAGTATTTGTATAGAAATATAAAGAGAAAAAACTATTATATTTGAATTTAAAAGGATGCAAATAATACGTTTTCTAGATACAATTAGATGTTTAACTTGATTCTACTGCCTTTACAATAAGTAAAACTGGAGAGTAGAAAAAAAATTTTTTAACGATTTAAATAACCCACGAATTTTCATGGTAAGAAACAAGTAAAGATCACACAAAGCGGTTTAAGAAAAACATACTAACAATTTCAAGAAACCAGATATGTTTTAGAATGCTACTCTTAAGAAATTTCTTTTATTGTCCTTTCTAGAGGTTTATAGACTTCTTCAAGTGACAGTCCTATAGATCACCAGGAGAAACATCATAAGATAACACAATGTAGAAGCTTCCTCAAATTTCTCTCTTTATCCTTTATTCTGAATTCCTTCTCCAAAGCATATCATATTCCCTAAATTAATTTTGGTGTGAAGTCTCATGATTCATGGTCACCCTAAATAGCAATTTTAAATTCCAGACCCAGAAAACAAATAACAAAAAGTTGTTCTGTTGTTGGTGAGGAAGACTCAGGGCCTCGCCCTGAGCTAACATCTGTTGTCAATCTTCCTCTTTTTTTGCTTGAGGAACATTAGCCCTGAACTAACATCCGTGCCAATCTTCCTCCACTTTATATGTTGGGGCACTGCCACAGCATGGCTGTCAAGTGGTGTAGGTCCACACCTAGGATCCAAACCTGCAAACCCGAGCTGCCAAAGGGGAGTGTGCTGAACTTAACCACTGTGCCACAGGGCCGGCCCGAACAAAAAGTTTTTTAAAGGTTCCATTCCCATTTATGCCTTCATACATCCTGCTGAGGATTTAAAATCATCACAATTGATTCTACAGCTAGTTCATTTCTACCAAACCCCACCGTACCTTGCTGGTGCAGTTATCCTGCAGATGAAAGCATAAAAGAGAGACCAAGAACACAGGATAAGCCTCCAAATAGAAAATATTTTGCTTAAATTTTAACTCATAAATTGTTTCTTTATTTATTTTTTTTCCCCCAAAGCCCCAGTAGATAGTTGTATGTCATAGCTGCACATCCTTCTAGTTGCTGTATGTGGGACACGGCCTCAGCATGGCCAGAGAAGCGGTGAGTCGGTGCGCGCCCGGGATCCGAACCCGGGCCACCAGCAGTGGAGCGCGCGCACTTAACTGCTAAGGCACGGGGCCGGCCCCTAAGTCATAAATTGAATATGACTTCTCAGTGACAAGCAAGAAAGCACTTAATTCTTTTTAGGGATTCAAATGAGGTACGAAACTAAATTAGAGCACACGCCGACTAATGCTTCTTTAGCTTCTAACCTAAATAATGAAGCCCCTCATTCAAAAATTGTTTCAGCTTTAGTGTTCCACTGTTAAGGAACAGGAAAGAATAAAACTCTTTAAAAATATATATTTAGGGCCGGCCCCGTGGCTTAGTGGTTAAGTGCGCACGCTCCGCTACTGGCAGCCCAGGGTTCGGAGCCTAAGTGCCACGGATGCACCGCTTCTTCCGCCATGGTGTGGCCGCGTCCCACATACAGCAACTAGAAGGATGTGCAGCTATGACATACAACTATCTACTGGGGCTTTGGGGGGGAAAAATAAATAAATAAATAAAATTATAAAAAAATATATATATATATATATATATTTATTGGCCCCCAGATCAACAGCATTCACCAAGGCAAATTGCTCAAAACACTCCAAAAGGTACTGCAGCCTACTTAGAAAAGATTGTATAGGAAAAGAATATGTAATAAATACACTAAGTTTTTAGGAGAGATATGAAATAAGGCTCAAAAAAATAGTCAAACCTTATGTCTTTTTAAAGACCTAGTTTTTACTCTAGCCTTTACAGATCTATATTTACTTTCATTCTCCTGCTTTTACTTTCAGTACAAAGTCAAAGTGTATTATATCTAATCTTATCTGAAAAGCTCTAAAAGGAGAAAGGCAAGATTGCATAAAAGGGCCAAAAAAGGACAGCCTTCATAAACAATCGTAATACATTGTCAAGTACATTTGGTGAACAAATTTTCCCTCACAATGAAGTATAAGACTTACCACCTCTGCCAAGGCTGAAATGACTTTGCCCAGAGTTGTAAGAGACTTATTAATATTTGCTCCTTCCTGAAATCAATACCAAAGATGAAAGAATTATGATGAAGAATTTCTACTATTACCACATCATATATAATACATAAAATAAAATTAGCCATATGCTAGAATCATTTATTTAGGACCACAAGTTCTAAAAAACTCCTTTAATCCTCAATTTTTTCTCCTCTCCACTTGATGACATGCCAGAACCACATGCCTAACTCACAGTCCTCAAGTATCTTCAAGATGTCTGTGCTCCAAAAACCTATAGATGCAGCCTTCTTCCCAGAAATCAGTGACATGAAATTTCTGCTCTTGTTAAGCATATCTCCAGAGAAGACCATGCTTGTTCTCACATCTGTATCTTGTGTATCCTTTCCCATTACTGTCCCTTACTTACATCTAACCTAATTCTGCCGGTTCCTCAAAATATAATTCAACTCTAATCTTGACCATGAAGTCGTCTTTAACTATTATGTTATGTAACTTAACCTTTCATTGAAGTTATAGATCAGAAGTCAGCAAAATTTTTCTGTAAAGATTTCGCAGGCCTTGTGGTCTCAGTTGCAACTTCTCCACTCTATCATTGTAGCACCAAAGCAGCCACAGACAATACGTAAACAAACAGACGTAGCTGTGTCCCAATAAAATTTTATTTACAAAAACAGACAGTGGGCCAGATTTAGCCAACTGGCCAGAGTTTGCTGATCTGTGTTATAGAATATTTATTGACTAGGTCATTTGTTTGGTAAAATAAATACCTTTAATCGAGTCCCTTTGGCACCAGTTGAATCAGCTCGTTCACTTCCCGCTAGATCCACCAAACTGATTTTACTAACCTGGTAAAGAACAATAACATTGGGGCAATTCAAAAATAAGCAAGGTAGAAGTAGAAAACATTTAGAGGCAGAAAATCAAAAGATTAAGGCCTATAGAGAAGACTAAAAATATTAATCAGGGCTCTTATATGGCATAAAAAGACAAAGACAACATATACCGTAGTCAATTTAAAGAGTTCGCACAAAAGTTCACAGCAAGTATCTTGGTTTGAAAGAAGTAATTTTAGGATAAACAAGACATATTTTACAATGGCATGTCATAAAAATATATAAAACTCATTAACCCATTAAATGGTATATTAAAAACGAAGCTTCCAGCAACTGGAACTCGCACATACTGCTGATGGGAATGTAAAAGGAGACAATCACTTTGGAAAACAGTTTGGCAGATTCTTAAGCTAAACACACACCTACCATAAGACTTAACCATTCCACTCCTAGGTATTTCCCAAGAGAAAAAAAGACAAATATCCACACAAAGACTTGTACACAAATGTTCATGGCATCTTCATTTGTAATGATTAAAAACTGGAAACAATTTAAATGTCCATCAATAGATGAACTAATACACAAACTGTGATTACATTTATATAATGGAATACTAATCAGCAATGAAAATGACTGAACTGCTGATACAGACAACAACACAGATGAATCTCAAAATCATTATGCTAAGTAAAAGAAGCCAGGCACACATATTATATGATTCCATTTATATAAAATTCTGGAAAATGGAAACTTATCTATAGTGATAGAAAGCAGATTAGGATTTTCTGAGGATGGAGATGGAAGGAGGAATAGTTAGATTACAAAGGGGCATGAGGCAACTTTTTGGGGTACTAGAAACGCTCATTATATGGACTGTGGTATTAGCTTTACAGGTGTATATGTATGTGATCCAATTTTACACTTTAAATGTGTGCGGTTTAGGGGCTCACCCCATGGCACAGTGGTTAAGTCCCACGCGCTCCACTTCGGTGGCCTGGGTTCACAGGGTCAGACCTACACCACTCGTCAGCCACGCTGACATACAAAATAGAGGAATATTGGCACAGACGTTAGCTCAGGGCAAACCTTCCCAAAGCAAAAAGAGGAAGACTGGCAACAGATGTTAGCTCAGGGTGAATCATCCTCAAAATAAAAAAAAAAATTTGCGCTTTATTGTACTTCAACAATACCTCAACAAAGTTGTTTAAAAAAAAAGTAGAGCTTCAGAAAGTTTACACAAAAGCATACAAATTATGAAGTAAGCTATGGTTATGGGATTAACGTCATTATTTTTGTACATCTGACATCATGTAAGAAAGGAAAAAATGCTTTCACATAGGATGTTCCTTAGTGCCATTCAGATAAATAGTGACTACTAAATAGCATTAATATTGTAACCTCTGGCTAAGCAGTGTGAACTTATTTAATCACCAATAGGAAGAAAATATTTTTTTAAATAATTTTCATGGCCAGCCCCACGGCGTAGTGGCTAAGTGCGTGCACTCCGCTGCTGGCGGCCCAGGTTCGGATCCTGGGCATGCACCAACACACTGCTTTTCAGGCCATGCTGTGGCGGCGTCCCACATAAAGTGGAGGAAAATGGGCACGGATGTTCGCTCAGGGCCAGTCTTCCTCAGCAAAAAGAGGAGGATTGGCATGGATGTTAGCTCAGGGATGATCTACCCCGCCCCCCCCACACACACTAAATAAATAAATAAATAAATAAATTTTAAATAATTTTCAGCTAAAAACAAACAAGTCACCAAGTAAAAGGTGATTCTAGTTTTTAGTGATATCAGTATCATAAAGTACTCAGTTTATAAGGCAAAGGACCTCTTTTTTTTTTTTTGAGATTTTAAACTCAATTTAATAGTTGTGAAAATATGATCCCATTTATTTACCCATTTTTTTTTTATAATTTTATTTATTTATTTATTCCCCCAAAGTCCCAGTAGATAGTTGTATGTCATAGCTGCACCTCCTTCTAGTTGCTGTATGTGGGACTCAGCCTTAGCATGGCTGGAGAAGCGGTGCGTTGGTGTGTGCCCGGGAACCGAACCCAGGCCGCCAGTATCGGAGCCCGCGCACTTAACCGCTAAGCCACGGGGCCGGCCCGATTTACCCATATTTTGATTAAAATGGCTTCCTTTTATATTTGATTTTTCTCCTTTATTATTTCTTTAAAATATACCAAGGATATTATTCCTATACACAAATTATATATATGTGTATATATATATACATAATTATTTTAAAGGACTACATACAATTTCATTATATAAAATTTCTTCTGTTACTATTAGGATTATTTACATTCTCATTATTAGATATACAGCAATAAAGATTCTCACATATTCATTTTGCTCTCTTAAACATCTCTCATTATGCTAAATTTTTATTGATTTCATAATAGTTTATAACATTGTGAGATTTCATTGTACATATTATTTGTCAGTCACCATATAAATGTGCCCCTTTACCCCTTGTGCCCACCCCCCAACCCCCTTCCCCCTGGTAACCACCAAACTGTTCTCTCTGTCCATATGTTAGTTTATATTCCACATATGATAGAGGTCATACAGTGTTGTCTTTCTCTGTCTGGCTTATTTCACTTAACATAATACCCTCCAGGTCCATCCATGTTGTTGCAAATAGGACGATTTTGTCTTTTTTATGGCTGAATAGTATTCCATTGTATATATTTACCACATCTTCTTTATCCAATCATCTGTCAATGGATACTTGGGTTGCTTCCACTTCTTGGCTATAGTGAATAATGCTGCAGTGAACACAGGGGTGCATAAACCTCTTTGCATTGTTGATTTCAAGTTCTCTGGATAAACACCCAGGAGTGGGATAGCTGGATCATCAGGTATTTCTGTTTTTAATTTTTTGAGGAATCTCCATACTGTTTTCCATAGAGGTTGCACCAGTTTGCATTCCCACCAGCAGTAAATGAGGGTTCCCTTTTCTCCACAGCCTCTCCAACATCCGTTATTTTCTGTCTTGGTGATTATAACCATTCTAATGGGTATAAGGAGATATCTTAGTGTAGTTTTGATTTGCATTTCCCTGATGATTAGTGATGTTGAATATCTTTTTATTTGCCTATTGGCCATCTATATATCTTCCTTGGAAAAATGTCTGTTCATATCCTCTGCCCACTTTTAAATCAGGTTGTTCGTTTTTTTATTGTTCAGTTGTGTGAGTTCTTGACATATTATGGAGATTAACCTCTTGTCGGATATATGACTTATAAGTATTTTCCACCAGCTGGTGAGCTATCTTTTCATTTTGATCCTGGTTTCCTTTGCCTTGCAGAAGCCCTTTAGCCTGATGAAGTCCCACTTGTTTATTTTTTCTTTTCTTTCCCTTATCCGAGTAGACATGGAATTCGAAAAGAGCCCTCTGAGACCCATGTCAAAGAGTGTTCTGCCTATATTTTCTTCCAGGAGTTTTAACGTTTCACGTCTTACCTTCAAGTCTTTGATCCATTTTGAGTTAATATTTGTGTATGGTGAAAGATAATGGTCTACTTTCATTCTTTTGCATGTGGCTGTCCAGTTTTCCAGCACCATTTACTGAAGAGAATTTCCTTTCTCCATTTTATGTTCTTAGCTCCTTTGTTGAAGATTAGCTGTCCGTATATGTGTGGTTTTATTTCTGGGCTTTCAATTCTGTTCCACTGATCTGTTTGTCTGTTTTTGTACCAGTACCATGCTGTTTTGATTATTATAGCTTTGTAGTAGATTTTGAAGTCAGGGATTATGATGCCTCCAGCTTTTTTTTTTTTTTCCCTCAGGATTTCTTTAGCTATTCGGGGTCTTTCGTTGCCCCATATGAATTTTAGGATTCTTTCTTCTATTTCTGTGAAGAGTATCTTTGGGATTCTGATTGTGACTGCACTGAATGTGTAGATTGCTTTAGGGAGCATGGACATTTTAACTATGTTTATTCTTCCAACCTATGTGCATGGGCTATCTTTCCATTTCTTTATGTTATCATCGATTTCTTTCAACAATGTCTTATAGTTTTCACTGTATAGGTCTTTCACCTCCTTGGTTAATTTATTCCTAGATATATTCTTTTTTTTGCGACTGTAAATGAGATTGTATTCTTGAGTTCTCTTTCTGTTAGTTCGTTATTAGAGTATAGAAATGCAACTGATTTTTGTAAGTTGATTTTGTACCCTGCAACTCTGCTGTAGTTGCTGATTATTTCTAACAGTTTTCCGATGGATTCTTTAAGGTTTTCTACACATAAAATCATGTCGTCTGCAAACAGCGAGAGCTTTACTTCTTCATTGCCTATCTGGATTCCTTTTATTCCTTTTTCTTGCCTAACTGCTCTGGCTAGAACCTCTAGTACTACGTTGAATAAGAGTAGCGAAAGTCAGCATCCTTGTCTTATTCCTATTCTCAGAGGGGTGGCTTTCAGTTTTTCCCCATTGAGTATGATGTTGGCTGTGGGTGTGTCATATATGGCCTTTATTATGCTGAGGTACTTTCCTTCTATACCCATTTTATGGAGAGTTTTTATCATAAATGGATGTTGGATCTTGTCAAATGCTTTCTCTGCATCTACTGAGATGACCATGTGGTTTTTATTCCTCATTTTGTTAATGTGGTGTATCACATTGACTCATTTGCAGAATTTGAACCATCCCTGTGGTTCAAACACAGGAACCCTGTGTTCCTGGTATAAATCCCACTTGATTATGGTGTATGAACTTTTTAATGTATTGCTGTATTCGGTTTGCCAATATTTTGTTGAAGATTTCTGCATCTATGTTCATCAGCAATATTGGCCTGTAATTTTCCTTCTTTGTATTGTCCTTGCCTGGCTTTGGTATCAGGGTGATGTTGGCCTCGTAGAATGTTTTAGGAAGTGTTCCATCTTCCTCTATTTTTTGGAATAGTTTGAGAAGGATAGTTATTAAATGTTATTTGAATGTTTGAGGTAAAATTCTCCAGAGAAGCCACCTGGTCCTGGACTTTTACTTTTTGGTAGATTTTTGGTTACTGTTTTGATCTCTTTACTTGTGACTGGTCTATTCAGATTCTCTAATTCTTCTTGCTTCAGTTTTGGGAGATTGTATGAGTCTAAGAATTTATCCATTTCTTCTAGATTGTCCAATTTGTTGGCATATAGTTTTTCATAGTATTCTCTTACAATTCTTTGTATTTCTGTGGTATCTGTTGTGATTTCTCCTCTTTCATTTCTAATTTTATTTATCTGAGCCTTCTCTCTTTTTCTTGGTGAGTCTGGTTAAGGGTTTGTCAATTTTGTTTATCTTCTCAAAGAACGAGACCTTTGTTTCACTGATCCTTTCTATTGTTTTTTTTTTTTTTTTTGGTTTCAATTTCATTTATTTCTGCTCTAATTTTTATTATTTCCCTTGTTCTGCTGACTTCGGGCTTTGTTTGTTCTTCTTTTTCTAATTCTGTTAGGTGTAGTTTAAGATTGCTTATTTGGGATTTTTCTTGTCTGTTAGGGTGGGCCTGTATTGCTATGAATTTCCCTCCCAGGACTGCTTTTGCTCCATCCCATATGAGTTGGTATGGTGTATTTTCATTTTCATTTGTTGCCAGATATTCTTTGATTTCTCCTTTAATTTCTTCAATGACCCACTGGTTGTTCAGTAGCATGTTGTTTAGTCTCCACATCTTTGTCACTTTCCCAGTTTTTCTCCGGTAGTTGATTTCTAGTTTCATAGCATTACTCTCGGAAAAGATGATTGTTATGATTTCAATCTTCTTTAATTTATAGAAGCTTCCTTGTTTCCCAACACATGGTCTATCCTTGAGAATGTTCCATGTGCACTTGAGAAGGATGTATATTCTGCTGTCTTTGGATAGAGGCTCTATATATCTACTAAGTCCATCTCATCTAGTTTTTCATGAAGTCCACTATTTCCTTATTGACCTTCTGTCTGGATGAACTATTTATTGATGTAATAAGCTCGCCTACTATTATTGTGTTGTTGTTAATATCTCCTTTTAGGTCTGTTAATAGCTGCTTTATGTACTTTGGTGTTCCTGTGTTGGATGAATATATATTTATAAGTGATATAAAGTGATTTATAAGTGTCTTCTTGGTGGAGTGTCCCTTTTATCATTATATATTGCCCCTCTTTGTCTCTCATTACCTTTTTTTATCTTGAAGTCTACTTTGTCTGATGTAAGCATGGCAACACCTGCTTTCTTTTGTTTGCCATTAGCTTGGAGTATCGTCTTCCATCCTTTCACTCTAAGCCTGTGTTGTCTTTAGAATTGAGATGTGTTTCCTGGAGGCAGCAAGTTGTTGGGTCTGGCAAAGGACCTTTTATAACTGCCAGTACAATAAATCTAACTTCAGATTTAAACATCTAGCTGCATGCTACTTAGGAATGTAGGTAGAGCAGAATTCAACATAAATTTATTATTAACAATAATAAAATTAACATTTATTGAGTGGCTACTCTGTGCCAGGCACCATTATGTGCACTTAACCTGCATTAATATTTTAATCTTCTTAACAATCCTATGAGGCTGGGGAAACTGAGGCACAAACAGGTTAAGTAACCCGTCCAAGGTAACACTGCTGAAAAGTGGCAGAACCAGGATCTAAAGCAAGCAGTTTAATTCCAAAGTCTGGTATATTTAACCACTACAGAAAATGAGAAATTAACAAGCAAAGGTATGTGAAGAGCATCAGAACTGCTGTGCAGTTATTGTCCAAGAATAAAATATATTTTGTCTGCTTAATCGTTTGCTTAAACATTTTATCCCACAGTAACATTATCAGAGCTGAAAAAAATAAAATACCAAAGAAGCTAGTAAGATAATTAAGAAGTTCTAGTCAAGAAGAAAAGGAAGGATTTTCTCCCCATAGAACTGCTTAACTCTCTTGCATAGAGTAGTTTTTGAGACTGGTTTTTTCTTAACCCTATTTCCTATCTTGCAATTTCACTTAAGAACCCATGCTCAAAACTGGTTTAAAGTGAAATAAAAACGACAAGAAGAAGGTATGAACTACCCCCCATTAAGCAAAATGGCAACTTTCCTCCCTTCCATAAAATGCAGACGGTAGCAACACGGACTTCTGAAAATTCCCGTTCTACCCAACTCAAGCCCAGAGACTAAAGTTCTCCTACCTTCTCAGTGGAAAGGTTGGTCTCAGTATCATGTTTCTTCTGGGTGAAAACAATGGTAAATACAGCATGGGAACGGCTACTTGTTTCATTCATGTTGGTAGCTGCCACTGTCCTAAATAAACATAAAGGTGACCACGTGACAATGGAACTCTTAGATGAAAGTTAAGTGGACAGTAGGCTCCACATTATAAGCATAACAATCACAAGCAACAGCTTTAAACTTATTCAGAGATTACAGGATTGTCACTTACACAAACTGCTCTCAATACACCTTATTTGTGAGCCCATCAAATTACCCTCCAACTCCAAAGGCACCCCATCAGAATCATTTTTCATACTCCAGCTGTCCCTTTAGAAACCACCAAGGCATCTAATTTTTATTCTTTATTAGATGCTCATTTATTCCAGAATCAATTACTACCATAGGCACGTGATAACGAACATTTTACCATGACTTGACCAAAACCTAACAGTAAAACTTAACCAAAGTTCTAACATGTTTCAGCAGTGTATTGTTTTGACAAGAAGAAAGATACTGGATATGCTGAAGCCCTCATTTCTCCAGAATAGCCAAAGGATCAGAGGACTCCACAATCAAAGCAATTTTCATAGCTATACATGTGGTCTCAAACCCTCAACCCAGAACAAAAGGCCTCAAAAAATGCCGAAGACCTCAGTCATTAGTCTATTTCCTACCATACCTGGCTTTGTTTCCAGCATCCATGAGGTCAGCAATGTCTGTGTAGGAAGTCACTGCCAACTTTGACAGATCTTCCACATATGGGCCAAGAAGTGGATGTTCACGCACACGCAAATTACCCTTGTTTTTCGGATTCAGCAAATCTCGTACTCTTTCACAGTAAATCTCCATGTAGCTCACCTAGGAACAAATTATTAAAGTGAATTAGAGGATGTGAAAAAAGAAATCCTATACGTCAAAAGTATCTTTTTAACTTTTATTAAAAGCTCTACAATTAGAGATTAGCAATCTTTACAAAGTGAAATGCCACAGAATCCCCTTTATTCTATTAACAGTATATACAGATATCACTGAGTAGGTTAGAACCAGCCTTCTGACCTCCTCAGGAAGAAAGGAGGTAAACAGTCTATCTCAGCACACAGTACTTAATACTTGTCTGAGGCAGAAAAAATATCATTTTTAGTAGCAATTTATCAGTTATTAATATTTTTGTAATGTATGCTGTTGTCAAATAACTGGGGATTACAGTGAGGTTACTACAAAAGCTTGGAAACAAGATTTCTATTGGTGTTATAACCAAGGAACAATACCAATATTCCAGAGCAAGGAAGACAAGAGACCAGCTAATACTTGAAGATTGAGCACACTGTGACTGATTATGGACAAAAAATGTAATCTACCAGAGGGGTAAAGGTTGGTCAGCACGGAATTTGACTGTGTGGCACGACCTACCCAAGTCTCGTGGGGGAAGAGGAAGCCGCAATAAACACACTTCAGGAATTCTTGTCCCGTCAGCAGGACAATTTTTATCATGAAGACAGATATATTAGGCTATCATTTCTTCACTCGAGGCAATTAAACATTTAATCTGTCTAATCAACTCCTCTCTCTCTAATTTCATGCTCACTAAAAAACCAACAGGATTCCAATAGAGGTCGGCCCAAAGGAAGATACTATACCAGTCTTGCTAATGTGAGTGTTCTGGTCTGGGTAACAGTTATTCCTCATGGGAAAGTAACAAACCAATATGGTGGTTTTGTAACATCAGTCAAATGAGCTTCACACTAGAGTCTGACTATGAAGGATGGTTCTGTTCCTGATATTATCTACAAGATCAGGCTTCTAAGCAAACAAGGCTCTGAACTGGGGTAAATTCACCACAGTAAGCCTCATTATGATGCTTCTCTAGGAATGAGAACCTTCTGTATCACTAAGCTACTCAAGAATACAATATAACTTCTGCATTTTTCAACTTTAAATTTCTATAGACACATTTTCAGAGTATCTGAAGTAGAACCTTATCTCTATTTCTATTGTCTTTTTCTTTCAATCGGTCTCTGATATAACTATATTTATACCGTATTTTAAAGTCAGTTTTTCAAATATTGACAGCCCTCAAAGATAAAGTAACTGATCCATTACGAGACTAAAACAATAAGACGACCAATATTCTTTCTTAAAGCAGGTCATCCTAGAAAGTGAAATGCTACTTTAATCATTCTCATGTACTTAAACTTGTACCTACAATCCTGAACCCCAGGAAGATATTGTATCTTCTTGGAATACTTGTCCCTTTTCACACAGGTATGAGACCAAGAGGACCCAAATAACCTCGGTAAAGGTTGATGTGCTCCATTACTTATTCTCTAATATGCAAATCCATCTAAAGCCATCACTATTTCTTTTATTTCTGAACCATTCTAGACCCCACTTGGCAATTTCAATTCACTGAGTACTATTATCTTCTAGGCACCTTCTAGGCATCATGAGTACTATGGAGAAAAAAAAAGAACAGGGCAGAAGAGATCAGGAGTGCTGGGGTGAAGGGCAAGTTGCAGTATTAAATAAGATAGTCAAGGTAAGCCTCATTGAGAGGGTAAGATTTGAACAAAAGATTTGAAAGAGGTGAAAAACTTAGGCAAAAAGATATCGAGGGGAAAAAAATTTCAGGCAGAAGGAAAAGTAAATGTAAAGGCCCTGAGGTTCCTGGTGTATTTCAGAAACAGTAAAAAAGCCAATGTGGCTGGAGCAGAGGAAACAAGGGAGAGAAGAAGTGGGAGAGGAGATAGAGGTCCCACCAACATAAGGAACAACAAAGTAGCAACTAGGGATCCACACTGCACTCCAAATAAGCCTGTGAACTCAGACTAATATGAAAGAAAATGGCATCTCCGTTTATTACCTATAAGCTCAAAAAATTCTGTCACATTCTGTCACTCTCCCTATCTTTGAATTTATTTAAAATATGTGACATTTTAATAAGATTAATAAAAACTACTGAATTTTCATTTGCTATACATTTAGTATTCAAAAAATAGTTATAGGACAAGACAAGCTATTCAGAGAATTCATTTTAACAAAAAGTATTTTTACAACAGCACATTTCCCTTTTGGTGTATGACAGTCAGAAAGCAGAATTCTTTAAAATTTATAAATTTATGCAATACTTTAAAGGTAAACAAAAATACCCAAAGCAGCTAAGTGGGTCAACTAGGAATTATGTTAAGTCCTATAGAAAATCATAACATATATATTAAAAAAAAAAATCTAGAGTTTACTTTAAAAACAGCTTAATTTCTCAGAACAGGCTCATGTGAACAGAACACTTTAGTAATTTCAGTTACTATGAAAATGATTACCAAAAATTGGGGTGTGTGAAACAATAGCTTTATAAAGCATATACAAAAAAGTAGAAGTATTTATCAAATAAACTCATGTACATAATGTAATTCTATAGACCTCTTCTTGAAAGAGCTAGGATAGACACTGGAGAGAGAATAACTCGCCAAGATTTTAAGGAATTATAAAGGTGGGCGAAGAGAGAAAAGATTTGATTATATATATTTTAAAAACTTATAGCTGTCAAAAATCATTAATAATAATATTAAAGAGTGAAGAGTTCACACAAATGAATAAGAAAAACATTGCAATCTCAAAACATAAACAGGCATACGCATAATTTACAAGATGTTCAACCACACTAATATTCAAAGAAATTCTAATTTAATTAAGAGTGAGAAATTTTCCCTTGCCAAATTGGCAAAGATTAAAAAATGAAATACTAGATGTTGGCAAAGGCACAATGGGTGTTTACATCCTCCTGAAGAGGCTGAAAAATGGTACAGCCTTTCTTTCTAAAAGGCCATTTGGCAATTCAAGTGTACTGTTTGACAACCAAGATACATACAAAGGAAATAACTGAAAATAAAGCCATAGACTTATGAACAAGGATTTACCTGCAACATTACTCATTATAACAAAAACTTAGAAATAGCCTAAAAGTACAAAATTGAGGGAACGGTTGAGTCATCTATAGCACAGTCATAATTTGGAACCATTCAAAAGTAACCTTTGAGGGAATGGAGTACAGATGCCTCTGGTTTAACTCTCAGTTGTACTTACCTCCACAGAGTAAGACATTTCTTCATTACAGTTGTCATTGATTTTCTCAAATAGTTCTTCACATAACTACAGAAGCAGAATGAGAGAGGCACAAATAGCATAAATTAGAGAAGTACTAAGTTACTCACAAGTGCTAAACAAATTAGCAAGATCCCCTTTCTCTCTTTCTCAAAATATTAATGGTATCAACATCAAATGTGAATGCTTTGAATGAAATAAAAGGAAAGTTTTGAATACATTCTTCTCATCTAAGCTTTTTTCTCCCTCAACAATAGTATCCCAATAATATTTTCTTAGAAAGAAAGCCATATTTAGGGGAAGAGGAGGAACTGACGTCTCTTCTAGTGTTACGTCATTGGCATATTTATGTGAAATCAAGTCTTCATACTATACTGGAGTAACTGTAACTTTACTATAAGTATTATTACTGTAGGACTCAAACTACTTTTAAAGTGTATTTTGCACACATTATTGACCATGATATATACATTTATTATATATTGATTACATATACATTATAAATTTATGTATATATACATAGAGAGAATGCATACTATTTGGAGAGAGTAAATGAAGAGACTTTCAAGAATAATTTTGACTCTATAAAATTTTCCCCTTTACCTCTACTCTTAAGATTCCAACTCCTTTATGAGAGGCTACTCCACTATACAGTGACATTTCTAACAGAAAACATTTATTTTTCCAGATCAGAAAACTTAAGAATTTCACTCTCCCTATACTTTGAATTTATTTAAAATATGTAATATTTTAATAATAATAATTAATAAAAATCTGCTATACACTCAGCATTAAGGCAATCAATATACATTTGGAAAATGAACTATATGTGATCCTCTAAAACTCTAAATAGGGGCTGGCCCAGTGGAGTAGCAGTTGAGTTCGCACGCTCCGCTTTGGCGGCCTGGGGTTCATAGATTCAAATCCCAGGTGCAGACCTATGCACCACTTATCAAGCCATGCTGTGGCGGCATCCAAAGTACAAAATAGAGGAAGATGGGCACAGATGTTAGCTCAGGGCTAATCTTCCTCAGCAAAAAGAGGAGGACTGACAATGGATGTTAGCTCAGAGCCAGCCTTCCTCACAAAAAAAAAAAAGAAAGAAATAAAAGTCTAAATAGAATTTAAAATTTATTATAAATGGCAGTTTCTAAATAATAATTATCTTTTTAAAAATCCATGCTTTTGCATTAAAATAAAATATCCCAAAACTCTACTGGAAAAGAGATACATACGTAATTATACAAGAATTCCAATAACAAACAAATTAAAGTTAAAGGAAAGAAAAGGAAAAACTAAGTGTGGTAATGTGATAAAATAAATATGACTATCTAGTATAACTTGCTATAATCTACAAACAATTATTTTATTGCCAAAGAAGTATTATATAGTAGTAAAAGCAAAGACTCTAAAACTACTTTGCCTGCATTTGGATCCTGGCTCTGCCACTTACTTGGGCAAATGACATGACCTCTCTGTGCCTCAGTTTCCTCATCTATAAAATGAGGGTAACAACAGCACCTACCTTAGAGTCATATGAGGTGGTATGAGGAGGATTAGATGAGCTAATATTTGGAAAGCACTTAGACCTGTGCTTGGCACATGGTGAGTGCTACATAATGTTTTCTCTAATTAGTATTATAATTATTGCTACTACTATATACAAAGAAGAACAATTCCCCGATATATGTCCTAATACAGATATTTTTTCTAGAAAAAAATATATGCCAGTATGTTCAATTTTTCTCTGAAAATTTCCTGATCTTTATTAATAATTAAGCATTTAAATTACATAGCTGAATTTATAATTACAGTCCAATAATCCACTAGAAAAAGTAGCTATTGCTCTCATGTATTTTACTCTCAGAATATAGAGATGGTCACACTAGGGCCACAGTAAAATAACACTTTAAAATTAATTCCAAATATCATTAATAAAAGCAAACAATGTCCCAGTTATTAATGAAAGAAGTTCTTTCTAATAACCTATGTCACAACTCTTCTCCATTCCCAAACAATACAAGATCAAAAGACTAACTGCTCTTAAAAAAAAGAAATCTTAGACTGTTAAAGCTTAAAATGATAGTATTAAATTAACAAGATAAAAGGAAAGTATCTCTGAATGAGGCAATCAAAAAACAAAAAACTCACATTCTTGAGCCACCCCTAAAGGCCTAGTGGTTAAAGTTTAGCACACTCTGCTTTGGTGGCCCAGGTTTGGTTCCCAGGCACAGAACCACACCACTCATCAGTCAGTAGCTATGCTGTGGCAGTGGCTGACATAGAAGAACTAGAAGGACTTACAATTAAAATATACAACTATGTACTGGGGCTTTGGGGAGAGAAAAAAGAAGAGAGGAAGATTGGCAACAGATGTTAGCTCAGAGTGAATCTTTCCTAGCAAAAATAAATAAATAAATGAGCTCTTTCTATAGAAATCGTTTAAAAAAAAATAATCACCTTCTTAGGAGGTGATCCATATAGGGAATTTGGAAAAAAATCAGACCAACCACGTTCACTAAGTGTCCCCAGGATTCAGAATAGAGACTGGTACATACTATCACATTTTTAAGAAGCTGGTAACACTGTTCAAAAGATAAAACAACATGACATCGGGTATACAGCAAAACCTTTACAAAATATCAATTTTCCCACCTTTAAAGACAGACATGTATACATGTCAGTCTTTCATCAGACTATTAGCTCCTCTGAGGGAAAAGGACAGGAGATTTACCTTTGAGCCTCACATATGACAGTCCCTAAACAAATGTTTGCTAAATAAAAATAATTGCTGGGGCTGGCACAGTGGCGCAAGCGGTTAAGTGCACGCGCTCCACTGCGGTGGCCCGGGGTTCGCTGGTTCAGATGCCGGGCGCGCACCGACGCACCACTTGTCAAGCCATGCTGTGGCGGCGTCCCATATAAAGTGGAGGAACATAGGCATGGGTGTTAGCCCAGGGCCAATCTTCCTCAGCAAAAAGAGGAGGATTGGCAGATGTTAGCTCAGGGCAGATCTTCCTTACCAAAAAAAAAATGAAATATTCAAAATGTTGGAAGATAAAAACTGTCAGCACCAAAAAAAAAAAAAAAAAAAATTGTTAAAGCAATTGAAGACTAAGAGTAATGATGAACAGAGATTTTTCATTGTTTTGTTTTTTGTTTTTTACCTGTGGAATGATGCCAGCCTGGCTTTCTTCTTGTTTACCCATCATTGTATAAGATTTCCCAGCACCAGTCTGCCCATAGGCAAAAATACAGACGTTATATCCCTCAAAGGCATGTAAGAGCATTTCCTTTCCAATGTCATTGTACACACGATTTTGAGATGCAAAACAAGGATCTTCTGGCTGTAAAGATTAAAAGGAGAAATAAAAAGCATTTTAGGGCCGGCCCCATGGCTTAGCGGTTAAGTGCACGCACTCCGCTGCTGGCGGCTTGGGTTCGGATCCCGGGCGCGCACCGATGCACCACTTCTCCGGCCATGCTGAGGCCGCGTCCCACATACAGCAACTAGAAGGATGCGCAACTATGACATACAACTATCTACTGGGGCCTTGGGGGGAAATAAAATAAAATAAAATAAAATAAAATAAATAAATAAATAAAAAGGCATTTTATTCATATTCTTTCCTATGCTCATTTGGTCACTTCTATAATAAATAAAAGCATTTTTAATCAGAATAGTCACTTAAAATATACTATACATTTTTTAAGTTCCCCCTACACATAGTTTATTTTTCTCATTAAACATACACATACACACAGGCACTATTAGAGTTATCCAAGTCAGCCATACATAAAAATATCTACGTGAAATTATCTAGCATGATTACATTTCATTTTTCATAACCTTAAAAGTATCACTCTGGGGCCAGCCCCGTGGCACAGCGGTTAAGCATGTGCGCTCTGCTGCTGGTGGCCCGGGTTCAGATTCCGGGTGTGCACCGATGGACCGCTTGCCAGGCCATGCTGTGGTGGCATCCCACATAAAGTGGAGGAAGATGGGCACAGATGTTAGCCCATGGCCAGTCTTCCTCAGCAAAAAGAGGAAGATTGGCATGGATGTTAGCTCAGGGCTGATCTTCCTCACACAAACAAAAAAAGTATCACTATTCCACTCGTAGGGACCTCTAAGAAAATTTTCTTAAGTGGAAAATGAGACTAAAAGATCAAAGGTCAAGTCCATATATAAAAATACTACTTTGAACTCACTCCAGGTAGTGTGGCTATTTCTCAATAAAGACAGCTTTCAGTGAAGAATGTTTTCCAACCGCTTTCACAGGCCTTTCCCTTGGCAATTAGGCTTTGTCAACAGTTTCAAACATCTCCTATTCCAAAACAAAACAGCGGAAAAAAAGAACAAAAAACCCTACTAGATGCAGAAGCAAACTCTAGTTTAGGAACAATCCCTAGAAGCCAGCAAGATTTGGCGTCCTGTACTGAGCAAGGATACTGTAAAGGGCCCTACTCTCCATTTTCGTAGATGTTGGTAATTTCTGTTTCCCTTGTGGACCTGCAGGCTCTTCCAGAATGTTCACAACCTGCACTGTTCTACTGCACTGCACCATATGTACACTTACCGAGGTGTGAGACCAGTAGGAGTAGTCGAAGCTGAAGGACTTGGGAGCTTCTTTTGGGTTCTTTGGGTTAATAATACCTAAAGGATGAAAATGTTTTGATTTTATAAGTCAGTTACATGTTTGTTAGTTCAACATGATGTTATGTTGTAAATTCAAAACATCCAAATCAATAAATTCATACCACTGAATCTGAATATGAATAGGGCAACCCAAAACAAAAAATAATGACAATTTTAATAGGTAGGATCTATATATAGAACTTCAAAAGAATCAGATCAACAACATTCACTAGGTGTCACCAGGATTCAGAACAGAGCCTGGTACATAGTAGGTGTTCACTAAATACTCTGTGACTGGACCCTAGGTGAGTCAGCAACCAAAATTTGGAAATGGGCCACGTTACTATTTCAAGGTGCTTCATAAGGCTTGAAATATTTCAACATATCAGAAATAAAAATTAGAAGATGACTCAATTAATCCAACCACTGTTTGAAATAAACTCTTTTTAAAGATCTTATTATCTACTTCAGAAAAGCATTTGGTAATGAAGCATTCATTGGAAAGATAGTCTTATCTCCGAACTCCACAGGTGGTGATAACTAACACATAAGTTATTATATATAAGTATATTTGTATGTGTGTATATGTGTGTATACAGTGGAACCACTAAATTATCTGCAGAATGTTATAAACAGGAAAATTACTTTTTGACTGAAAAGCATGAAGTCTCACTGCCCATATTAAATGTGATTTCTCATGTAATTAACCCAGTTATACTATACTTCAGGGATTCTCTCTTCCTTTCTCATACACACAAAGCTTTAGTTCCTCATATTTCACACGGAATAGAATCTTTATAACATGTGGTCATGAAATCCTCAAAGACCAGACATCTCAACCAATCCACTTCTCTAAAGCAGGGCCACATCCCAGGCTATTAGTGAGATCAGGATTAAAAAATAAATCTGTCCAGAGCAGCTGCTGTTCAGGACACAAATAGCAACAGTTGCTACGGTGCTTAGTTCTCTCTCTTGCTAGATTCCACTGGGTATGGCCACACACACATGTTCCAACCTCAAATGCTGACAGAGTATTAATAAGGCTCACACTGCACGTAATCATGTGACAAGGAGACAAGATTCTAGAAAGAACATCTCCCCACCTACAAATGGTAACCTAAACAAAGAAGTGTACTTCTAACCAAACGGCACTACATACAAGATTTAAATAACAGCCAACATTCATGGAGCACTTACTCTGAGCTCTAAGTACTTTCTGTGTACTAACCTATTTAATCCTCCCAACCACGCAATAAGGCAGATGTTTTATTACCTCCATTTTATAGATAAAGAAACCATCACAAAGAGGTTAAATAACTTACCCAAGGCTACAGAGCTAGCTAGTGGCAGAATCAGGATGTGAACTTAGGAGAGTCTGGCTCCAGAGGAGAGTCTGGCTCCAGAGCTCACACTCTTAGCAAAGACGCCCATTATTTAAATGCTTATTCTCTACATGCCGAAATCGCCAAGGCAAACACAAGTTAAGGCATTTTTATGCATATGCATACAAATGCGTACGTGTATGCACATGTATATGATCACCCCCCTAAAATTATATCACAGGCACTGCTTAAAACTCTTTATCTATTTAAAACTAGGAACTATGAGGATTATAGTTCCTAAAAGATGAAAGACCACACACAAACTCTACCAAGAAAACGGAAATGAGTGTCATACTGCGTGAACCAGATACCAGGTTTCAGTGGCTCAGCAATAAGGACAATGACAAAAAAACAGAGGACATGACCTCTGAAGTAGTCTTCACTACTCAGAAACATGGTTAAAATAAACATATCTAACCTCTAGGAAATTTGCTGTCATAAAACTTTCAAGCCATTTTTCATTCAGCCCTTTAGTTACTCACTGGTGGAACCAACTCTGCCACGAACAACTTAAGAAAGGGCTATTTTTCAGATCCTACCCATTTGTTCTATTTTCCCTAGTAAAGAAAAAGAAAAACTACACCAGTGAGCAATTTCCTTGATTCACATGAAATCCTTTTTCTCTTCCTCAATAGTCCCTTCTCCCAGATCTTTGAAACTTTTGAAACTAATAAATTTTCCTAACTTCTAGCTTCGAAACCAAGCTGCCTTTTGAATAACTGCCTTTTGAATAACTGCCTCTAGACAACAAAAATCTTTTTATTTTAACATAAATAAGTAAATCAAAATATAATTTTAGAGAGCTATTTATATAATAGTTATGCCAAACAAGATGAAATTTACCCACAATATTTAAAAGATTTTAATTCCTAAATGAAAGATATTTATATAAGACACCTTAGACCAACGCAAAATTCAGTATCGTTACCTGTTTGGGGGGGCGTGGTAAGCAGAAAGTCTCAGAGGGCATAGGTAATCTCTATATGTAGGTTGGGTAGTAGTTATAGAGTTGTTTGGTTTATATTCTTCTTTTTTTTGAGGAAGACTGGCCCTGAGCTAACGTCTGTTGCCAATCCTCCTCTTTTCTTCTTTTTTTCTCCCTAAAGCCCCTAGTACATAGTTGTAAGTCTTTCTAGTTGTTCTATGCAGGACGCCGCCTCAGCATGGCTTGATGAGCTGTGGGTAGGTCCACACCCAGGATCCGAACCAGAGAACCCTAGGCCACCGAAGCGGAACGTGTGAACTTAACCGTTGCGCCACCAGACCAGCCCCATGGTTTATATTATTCTTTATACTTATATATGCATTGTATTATGTTGAATATATGAAATATTTCCTAATGAAAAATTTTAAAATTCCAGAACTCTGCAAATGAAAAAAACTGTCATAAGGATAAAAAAATTTTTGTGTGTGTGAGGAAGATCAGACCTGAGGTAACATCCATGCCAATCCTCCTCTTTTTTTTTTTGCTGAGGAAGACTGGCCCTGGGCTAACATGTGCGCCCATCTTCCTCCACTTTATATGGGACGCTGCCACAGCATGGCCTGACAAGCGGTGCATCGGTGCGTGCCCGGGATCTAAACCCGGGCCGCCAGCAGCGGAGCGCGTGCACTTAACCGCTACGCCACGGGGCCGGCCCCAGGATAAAATATTAATGACAGCACTTGAGCTCATCAGAAGCCCATGAACTCCACTACTACTTCCACGAACAATGAATTAATGTTTTCATATGTGCCAAAGGATTTTTCTTTCTGAATTAACAGTTGAGATCTAACTCACTTCCTTTAACCCAGCTAAGAAACAGGATGCTTCCAACCATTAATAAAAGGGGAAGAGGGGAGACAGTACATGCAACAGAAAAGGTATAGGACTTAGAATCAGAGGACCAGCATCAGTGCCTACATACTGGTATCTTTTAATATCCTAAACATATGAAGAACAATTAAGAAATCCACTATTCAGATTTTTTTGTGACCTTGGGTATTGTTACACTTTTGTGTTCTCTCTAAAAGTGAAATAATACCTAATTCACAGGATTAAATAAGTAAAGCACACAAATGTTAATTTTTAAAAATATGAACTTAACTTATTTTAAACTCTCTCATGTTCGGCTGGGAGGATAACCATATTCCATGGTCTTTAAACCACAACGAAAAAAGTTCACTAACTGATAAAACAAGCTAAAGCATAACATAAGAATTTTACCTCTTGGCAAGAGTCAAAGTACTACACTGGGGTCCTTTAGAGGGGCCATCAAATCTCTGGTGTCCTACCACATTATAAATCCCTTTAGTACATGGACCATGTGTTGTGGATCCTTTACACTGCCCTACCCCAAACAGGCATTAAGATGAATGTCTCCCTACGTCACGTATAATTTTAATTTCACTAAATCCTGTACCATTTTCAGAAGCATAAAAAGAAAAAACAAAAGAGTGCATACCTATACAATATATACATAAAATACCAGTAAATTTTATCAACTTTCACAAAAAGAACAGAGAGAATTGTCTGTCTGAAAGATTGGGCAATATTTAACACAGTGGTTCTTCTATCGAAGTCAACTGAGCTAAAATACAGTGTGTAGGACTTGTAATTTGTTTCTCAGAAAGCATACACATAAGAATGGAATTATAGTAATTAATGACTATATTCAATATATAAACCATATTTTCACCAATGTAAAAGTTGTTACAAATAGAGCATGCCTCCCATGGTCATGTGTCATTAGTGTGCATGCTTTGTCTAGGACAAATCATCACTTTTTCTGCAAGGAAACGACTCCAGGAATACTTTTGAGGACTGGAGTCAGAAGCTAACTCTATTGTAAGTGCTATGTAGTTCATATTATTTTATTTCCTATAAAACCACCTTTTCATGTCACTTTTCAAGGTCCTTTTAAACTTCTGCACCTGAGGCCTCCTTCTCTATCAAGATTTCTCTAGACACACAGTATACTCCAGACCTGGACCCATCTCCACAAACAGCTTTTCACAGATGATCTTGGAGTCATCTTTGACTTTCTTCTCTCACCCTCCACATCTGACCTATTCTGTCAGCTCTACTTTCAAAATGTATCCAGAATCCCACAGCTTCTCAGCACCACCTCATTACTACCCTGGTCCAAGCCACCATCTCTCTCACCTGGATGACTGCAATACCTCCCAATGGGGCTCTCCACTCTGCCCCTGGGGCCCTGAAAAGTCTCATCTCCACACTGCAGGCAATGATCCTTCTCAAATGTAATCCAGATCACACCCACGTCATGCCTCTAGTGAACCCTCCAATGGCTTCCCATCATACACTCCCTCACTGCCCTCCTCTCCAAAGACTCACCCCTCACTCCAGTCCCACTGGCCTTCTTACTAAAGACACACTCTCACTTCAGGGCCTTTGTACTTACTGCTCTACCAGGAACGCTACTCTCCAAGGTATCTGAATAGCCCATTCCCTAATGTCATACAAGTCTCTATTCAAACGTCATCTTATCAGACAGCCCTTTTCTGACCATTCTATTTAAATCAGCATCCACTTCACTCTCCATCCTCTTATTGTGTTTATTTTTCTTCACTGCACTCATGACTACCTGACTTATTCTATGAGTCACTGGAATGTAGGTTTCATAAGGCCAGAAC